GTAATCCAAGTCTTACAATCTACTACTATAATGTATATTTATGGTGTAAGGGACCTGGTATGATAACTTTAGGGGCATAGTGATCAGATGGCGCAGTAGTCAACATACTTGCTTTCCACCAAGGCGACAAAAATTCAATCACAAGAATGTTTGAATTAGCTCCATCTATCAAGGCAACCAAAGTACAGTTCCCTTAGTTGACAAGATCCTGTTTAGTCCTCCTCCCCCTAGCTAGGCATCTAAATTTTAATTCCCCAAGTTGACAGGTTCCTCTTTAATTCTCCTCCACTAGACAACTAAATTTCAATTCCCAAATTGTTGGCATGTATGGATTGCTTGAACACTTGGGTATGACCAGTTAAGTTTATTAATTGTGATACAAATTTACATGTATTATCATATCATCTGAGTTGTCTGCCCTTGCCAGAAAGGAAACGTTCACACATGGGTCTGTCTGTCATGCTTTGACAAGACTTTCATTTAGGTCCATGTTTCAGTAAAGAATGACTTTAGGACGCTATTATTTTGCATAAAGAATCTGTGTGTAAGTTAACCATAGTTGTATTTGGCCCAACAGAGCATTCTCTGTTGATATGCCATGTAGAATATATGACGTTAGTTTCAGTTATAAGACTGATGTTATGGAGTTGAATTCTGGAAAGGAAAAAGTGCATCATTATTTAAAATTTCTGACATGTTCTACACTCTAAATCGACTTCATTTTTAGCTATATTTCCATCAAAGTAAAAACCATGGCATATTATGTTTCACAAAATTACTCTGAAGACAGAAACCGTCTTTTCATTGGTTGCGTATAAGACATGTGTTGGAGTATATATATATATATGGTATTTTGATATACAATGGCTGGATCATGTCTGGGATATTTAAACATGGTTAAGAAAGTCTGGTCATGATCATCATTAATATTGCTCTTGTAAAGTAGACATATTGCTGGGGGGAAATAGTTGAAGGAAGAGGAGGTAGATTTATGGGATCAAATTGGTACAGACTTTACATGCAGAGGATGGGAGCAGAGATGCAGGTGCCCTGTCACCATTAATGTACTGGGAAGGAGGTTTATGTTTAGAGAGGTTAGCAGGCTAATTACACTTACTAAGAGATGGATAGCTTTGATGGGGGAGGGGGAGTTTCAAACATATTGCTTGATGTCCTGGCTTCATTGTCCTCCTCATTGTATGTAATGAGTGCAAAAGTATACTGGAGAAAGGAGGACTCTTTGAGAGCAAAGGAGATGTTTACACGATGTATAGGAATATATGTGATAGAGGGTATAACAATATTGTGATATTAATTACTAAAGTATAACATCTAGTTATGAGTATGTAGAAATGGGACTACACAATTAGTATACATGTAGCATTGTCTCAGTGGCAAAACATCGTTAGCTTTCACAGTTAAAATATTTTTGAAAATTTATCATCATGTCATTATGTACAAGAGATCTATGCACCTATTTGTCTCCAGATAATTGTATGAATTAAATACATGTTTTATTCAGCTGTGATTACAATTCGTTGAAGATATGCATGTAAGAAAAAAGTGATAGATTTGGTGTTAAGCTGATCACTCTGGTGTACTGAGCCAATAAGAATGTATTGTAATGAGAAAAAAAGATGGCCTTACTTCCTGCCAGTCATAAATTCAGGTACCAAAAATATGAATGGCACTGATGAACTTTTGTGGGGAAGTACAGTCACCACTAATTATGTGGAATGTATGGATACATGTGTTGATGGAGAAGGATGGGTTGGAAGTAGGGGAGATGTTCATTGTAATACAAAGAATACTTACAGCAGTGATTAGGCTTTCATATATTCATAGTCTGTTTATTCAAAGCCAGTTATTAAGGAAATGTGTTTTTATGTTTTTTTTGTCTTAATTATCATAAAATGTGAAGAAATATCACATTTAAGTTCACATTATTGAATTTCGTGAAATTTTATTGATCAGTGTACTCTTAGAGTTAAAAATTTACAAAAGTATTACAAACTGCATAAATCACCACTTTTCATTTTTTTTTGGTCATAGCCTTACACACATAGTATTTACAGGTCCCGTGATGTCCTTCAATCAGGTCTTGATGACATCAAAACACTTATTTTGAAGACTCCTGTAGTATATGTGCCTCCCCATCATGGGTGAGGAGTACTTGTGTAGGATGATAGATTCCTGATAAAAGCACCTTCAGAAGTTTTCACTGAGATCAGGCTTGATACCAAGCATTCAGAAGATGTCTTGGATTTTTGAAAGTTTAAAATTTACCTACTGCACTAATACAGGTCACAATTTAATGGTTTATTACCCAGAGGAAGAAGTATCCTCAGCAAGCTTTCGTAATTATATCTTTAATTTACCAACAACGTAAGTTGAGGTGGTAGGTACATAACCAATAGTACAGTGACCAGGAGCCTTTTAGTGCAGAGTGATTGACTGATCTCATTAAGCTATTTACATAAGACAGAGGAAAGTGCACTGTGAAGCTATAGTGGACTATAAAGACTATGTCTGTTTATAATTTGAAAAACAGCCAGGTCAGTATACACATGACCAGCGGTCAAATCTTACAAGTCAAGCGGGAGTCAAAGCAGAGCAGTGTTGTCAGTGGCCAGGTTGAAACAATACAGCCTTGTATGTTATTTTATAGCTGTATGTACAGTGTATAAAAACAGTCTCATTGTAAAAAGCTTATCTGGAAAGTACTTTTGATTTATCAGGCATTATCAGAGAGCTTGTTTAATCTAACTTATCTGAAGGAGATAAAAAGCCACATGTGTATTTCAACAGTTATCACTTAAGCCATAAATATAGCATTCGGTCCCCAATTGTTCGTACTAGAGCATGGTCAGCTCCAGGGTTTTGATGTTAAATACCCAGACTTGTTGTCCAATAACCTAGATTACATCGGACAGGTCAATTTTATTGATAAGAATGAAAAATTGCCAATGATACAGTGTATATGACAATAGTATGTAGCAGTGCTAAGAACATGGAACTTTATTTGAAGGTTAATGTACAACATCGGTTAATATGGTTGTACAGATGTTCAGGAATCAGCTGTTTGTCTTCAGAACAAGGATACGACAATGGTGGTAATTTTGTATATATTGTGAGGTGGTTAGAGATAAATTTGAGAATATGCTAGAGATTTGGTTTTCCAAACACCAATCCTGTAATGTTAAAATGAACTAATTGTTATGGTTGTTCTGATACATGTAATTAGTTTGATAGAGAATTGACAGATCAAAATCTAAACAGGTTGTTTTTCATTGAAATATCTGTTTGATGTAGTCAATATATTTACACAGCAAACAGATGTTTATTTCTCTTATATGATAAATTGTACCAAACATACATTTAAACGGGAATTTGTTTTATTTATGGCAATTTTTTAAAATTCACTTGTCATTGGCAATTATAGGTTTAGTTGAAACGGTCTGAATTTTTTCAGTCATTGTCATAAGAATTTAAAATATCTTGGTTCATCTATATACATTTGTACAGTGCATGCTATTGCATGGCCTTGTATGGCTCTGAGATTCAGGACTTTTAACAGAAAACACCAGTGTTATGTATGTGACATAGAAGTAATATTCTAGATAAGATAATTACAGCCTTCTTTGATAAACGCACATGCATGTTACATCACTAAGACACTTTTAACGTCTTACACACTGCTGTCGGCTTTGTTAATAAAAAAAATATGAGGGAAAAATGCTTTTCCGTATTGTAGATTCTCATGAAATAAAAAAAACTTTTCCTCAGATTTTGCCGCAAGGAAGATTTCCAGTGAGTTGATCCTATCAGGTCAGCTTTACTTTGATACATGCGCATATGACATCACCATTTAATTGCCAGTCTGGGACAGTATTAGGGAGATCATAGCCAGAGGGAAGGGGGAGGGGAGGGGAAGATTAGAGGATAGAACAGTTGTTTCCTTTCCTACCACATATGTCAGACACAACAACTCCTGCAATCAAATCGGGCAATATCGGGAACTGCTGCAAACTGCTCAACAGAATTGGCAGCCAAATGCCAAAATATCAAAAATTATAGGGTGAAAAAAAAATGAAAGAAAACCGGAAGATGAGTTTGGGAATTACAAGGCAACATTTGCAGTATGTGTGTGTATTATAGGATAGCTATAGAGATACAGATTGGCGAAGTATTATATTAAGCATCAGTGAGATTTCCTGCTGTTCTCAGGAAACCTTTTGATATCAGAATCTTGAACATGTATTACGTGTATATACACAGATCACAGATCCTTGATGATCGTAAATGTTGGTGAGATAGTTTTCACAACATTTGAATAACCCTATCTCTATATGCTGTAGAGAAAAACGTAGGAAAGACGAGGTGGTTATGATAGTATTTGATGTGATTTGCTCTTTGGTATGTCGAGGTTCCATCTTACTAGTCTCTACTGTCTGTATGGTTATTAGAGAACCTTGAAAAAGGAGAGAATCTATCAGCAATACCCTTATTTATCCCTGTGTTTTATTCTTTTTGCAGAGAACTTAAGGGAACATAGATGTGAGGAAGTTCAGAACTGAAGGCATAGGAATGTGGAAAAGTGGTTTAATCTGCTTATTATCTAGATAAAGTGGGAAGGGATCAGCAGGAGACGGGACTGTTGAGGCTGATGATGGCAGACATCACCTGACTATATCCTCCCTACCCGGCCCCAGACAGCTGCCTTCCTCATGTCTCCAGGTCTAACAGGGGCTAATCTAGCCAGGGGACAACACTGTAACCATCGAACATGGGTTAACACGTGTTCAGCATCATGATCTTATTAAGGATTAACTACTTAAGTGAAAACTTGATTTAATGTGATTTACTATTCATTGGATGTGTTTTACTGACTTATATAAAATTCTTGGAATTTTTTATCATCATTTTAACCCATGGAAATATATGTAATTGTAAATTAGTGTGATATTGAAATTTGAAGTGATTGCTCCTATCAACTGATTATGTCGCAGGCAAACAGTGTTTCAGTAGACAATGTCCGTCATAGATCAGCACGGGCAGTGGAATATTACAAACAGCGAGTGTTGCCCATCTATCAGGATAAACGTGACCAATCCCCCTCTTCACGCCAAAGGCACCACTATGGGTCAGAGGACAACCTGAATGGTCTCCACCCTTCAGAAAGCAAGGGAGGAGGCGGGGACAAAGAAAGACGTGTTGGATTCAAGGATGTAGCAGAAAATAATGTCACCTCACATAACGGAGATGGCTGGCTTGTTAGGGGTGGTCATCGTGCCACATTTCATGGAACTCATTCCAATTCATCATGGAATAAAGGTAGCGGAAGAAGTGAAGCATCAACAAGGGGGGATAACTCTCATTCAAAATCTGTCCCAAAGCCAAAACAGACTCCAGAAAGTAGTGTGATGAGTAGTAGTGCAAGTAGTGGTAGTTCTTCTACGAAGCGATTCAGTAGAGGATTGTATCGGAGTAACAGTAATCTGGAGATGGATAGTATCGAGTACATAGATGCTGATGATGTGCACAATCGTAGTATACATAGGGACTATGGGAGTACCTCTTCCCTCGACATCATGGGTACAAGCACCAGTAGTGACAGCTTCTTTGCTATGTTAAAAGACTTTAAGGATGTGAATATTGATCAGCGTAGTCCTGCTCCAGCCAAATTAAGTGAGTTTTTAAGAGGTGGGTTTGATATAAAAGCCAACAATATTAGAGACCGACATTTTGAAAAGACCACAAATGGAAGTGTTCCAATAGATAAAGTGGTCGGAGAGGATGAAGTTGATAGTCCTAGAACAAAATCAAAATTCAAACATAAGGACAGGAAATCTAGGGCAAAGTCAATAACGGCAGAAACGAGGCCGCAAGGGCTGTTAAATAAGCTTCGAGGTAAGACAGATGTGGAATCTGGGGCAAAGACTCCAGAAAATATTGACATTGACCTACGTGCAGAAGAAAGGTTAAGGTGCAAGGCCATTAACCACTATGACTGCCAGAGTTTGGGATTTAGCATTCAGGACGCGGTGGACAAGCAGCATCAGGCCCTTACAGCCAAAAACATATCAACTGGGGCATCTGCTGCTTCTGCTAATCGCAACAGTTTGGCTGCTGACAAAGATGCACCAGACATCTTGGAAGAAACAGACGATGGTGACAATAAGAGCAATGGTCTTGTTCTAAGTTGTCCATTTTTCCGTAATGAGACAGGAGGGGAAGAGGAAAGAACTATAAGTCTGGGCAAGACTACTGTGTCGAAAAGTCCCTCTCTTCCCAACACGTCCCAAAGTGCAATAAATGCCATACCAAGTCGCTCTCCAGCCTGTTGTGGCTTATCAATACTCGACTCAGCCCCGACACCAACTGGACTAATACTTCCCCACGTGGTGTTACATAGGGGTCATGTGATAGAAGGGGATGACTGTGGCGCCACCTACTATCGTCACTTTTTCTATGGATATGGTACGTATTTCGTGTGTGATTTGGTAATGGTGAGAATTTGAAATTCAATTTGTCATTAACTATGAACTTTTATGGTGTGTTGATGTATTTGATATGACATTTATATTTTCATGTATCTTTTTTATGTCGTCAAATCTTAGCCAATCACGTATATTCTTACTGACATATGAGTGATGTGAACTTCACGCATGAATACTTCTATAACATCGTGACGTTAAGGAAAGATATCCAAACTCTGACATATCTTTACATTTTCATTCGATTCCAATAACAGAATGTTACAAGAATTGACTGCCATATTGAAACAGGTCATTCTACTATTCAAAGGAGAACAACTACTGACCTGTTCCAAGTAAAGTCATCAATATCATGATATCCGTAGAAGCAAGTCACCATACATCCACAGGTGTTAGCTTGCTCTGTATAATTATAAGGCTATATGTTCAATGCATTAAGCTCCATGTAATAAGACAAGTATAATGTTGATACATAATAAATATAAACCCTTTAAAATATACCTAATAGTTTACATTTGCAGTCGACCAGTTATTAAGTGGAAAAATCTTTATAGGAAATTCAAATTGATTGACCATTTGTTGATGGTACCAGTCTGATCTATGTTATATTAAATATTGCATATAAGGAAGAGTTTCAGATAAAAAAATAATTTCCTGATCGAATATTGAAGGATAAAATCATTATATGAAAAATTTCCGATCTTTAGTGATAATTGATGACATTTTTTCGACAAAAAGGAAATTTCTATTTGTAATGAAATGAAACAAAGAATTCTTTGTATGATTTTGGGTCAGTATGTTTGGTTCTTATTTTAAAATGTTGGTTTATGTATATTCCACTAGAAGACACTTAAGCTTAATTTTCACCCTGAAATTGATCATCGACGTTTATGATTGATCATTTTTGAAGACACTCAACACTGGCAATCAATCAGTGGCTAAACTTTATATTTTAAGCATAAAGTCATAGTATTATCATATGGTTGGCCTTAAATTTGAACAAGCTGGCAGATATCCAGTCTGTGTTGAACCAGCTGCCTTAGTCTACAATCAGTCTCAACTTCCTTGTCAATGATTTTCCATAAGGATTATATACACTGCTTGATAATCCTGGATTATGTCAAGCCGATACATGTATATAGGTCACAAAAATGTCTTTATCATACATTGAATTTATTTATTTCATTCATATTCATTATTCATTTAAATTCCATTCATGCTATTCATGTCCAAATATCAAAACATATTTATGCATGAAAAATGCAGATTAAACAGCGTACTAGTATATGCACTTCCCATAATAAATTGACAATGGGATGTTTTTCTTTCTGGAATAAATACTTTAAACTACTGAAACTTAAAACTAATATCAATTGAATGAAATAGTAACTGAGTATTCAGGATTAATTAGGTTTGGCTGTTCGAATTTTAATTATGTTTGATTAATTTACTTCTTTGCATGTTCCTGTATCAGGTTTAAACAGATAGAAAAACATCATTATCCCCACATGGTTTCTTTCTTGATTAAATTCCACATAGATTTTAGCACTGTGAAAATTAATTTAGGAAAGTATTCACGTTTCAATAGTTTGTGAAATGGAGCTGTGTCATTGTTTTCTTAAATTAAATTTCCTGTACAACTGTAGGGTTAGTGATGTGTTAATTAACCTAATGATGTTTTTGAAATGAGGGACTTGCTTAAATTTCATTAGAATTAACACCCAAGATGAAAATGTGATGATTTTTTTTATAAAGCAATACCCATCATTCATTCACCAAAAGGTGATATCTTTGGGTGACAGTGACCGGGGTCAGGGGTCAGGTCAGTTCCATGTAAGGAGTGATTAACTGTTTCACCTCTGCTGGTTCTGATGGGGTTGATGGAGGCTAGATTAATATTGATCCTGTGGGTGCACTAGCCAGGCGATGTGCAGGTCAAAGATTTAATTTAATCAATGTCACTTGATAATTACTCTTAAGACCAAGTAATTTAATCTGTCACTTTAAAGTGCTACATGCTCTTACACAATATGCAAATTAAATCTTCTTTAAGGAAATTTCTTCTTGACTTGTTCAGCTTATAGAGAAAGTGGTTGAGTTTGATGTTGTACTAGTTCTCTGATACCAGTAACAGGACACTCTAAGCCTAATTGTATTTGTGTTGTAAATAAAATACCAAATATATCAACATTAAAAGGCTTTCTAGCCAATATTTGCTCTCTGTAGAGATGTTTTACATTCCTGTAAATTGTAGAATATCCATGTTATATTATACACACATAAATCCCTAAGTAAACGATGTGGACAAAATTCTGGCCGGAAAACAAAGATAAAGGGACAGCTGGGGTCAAACATTAGCTGGGGTCATTATAAAGGCTGACCTAGCACCAGTTTGTGGGTTTACAATGACCCAAAGTCATTCTATGATATGCTGAAAATGGCCATTGTCCTTGGGCCAAAATCTGGTCTGGATCAAAAGAAAGGCAGTTAATATTCCTTTCAGCTTATAACCAATCATTGTTATTCACACAGTTAAGTTATAGAACAAATAATATGCAGTCGTTGATATTAAACCAGTTTGATAAAAACAAATATTTTGTTAATTCATAATATAGAATTTACTGTATAAATCAATAAAGTTAATGTTGAAGTATTTTTTATCACAAGCACCCTCAGTAACACCTGTCTCTAGGAAGTAACTGACAGAAATTGTTTAGTACAAGCTGGCCATGCACCAGGTAAAACAGCCATACAATGCTAGAACAACATTTATCTAACGCGTGTTTTTATTGGGTGGTCTTCGTGATCTAATCTTCGATATACTCATGAATTCTGACACTAGTCGAAATTGGTGGCCATCTTTCTGGTTTAGGCAGATGGTCGACATGACGTTGACATTTGAAAAATTTGTTATATTGACATGCTAAAATGTGTCAGCAAAATGTGAAGCAGTGAGTATGAAGATGATAATCTTTGTGACATATTCCGATTAATTTTTTTTCCAATGCAAGTGAGTTTGTTGGTAAATGTTAGCATATCGATAAAGACAATAATCAATTCAGTAACTGTTTGTTGATCTTTTCAATCCAGGTATCAACATCAGATATGATATCAAAATTAAGCGAAATCATATTACATGGTAGTGTGTCCTATATTTACTGGATACATGAATCTAAATCACCATTTGAGATAAATGTACTGACAACTTCAGATGAGTCTCCTGTCATGATCTTTTGTGAGTGCCTCTCCACAATGTCCATTGTTTTATCGATTTTCTTTTGTGAACAAATACCTTTACCATTCAAAGACAGACATGACAATTTTGGGTATATAAACGAAGAATCAATATAAGCAACAGTTCAGATAGATAATCCATGCCAAGAAACATTTTAAGCCTTTTCAAATGCCCTGACCTACATCCTGACTAGAATCTATCAACGACTTGACCAGAAAATGGCCGAGCTTCTTTGTCATCAATGAATGAAAGAAGTATTTTTATTGGCTAAGAATATGTGAGGAACAGTTTCAAATGAAATTGTTGAATTTCCTTGATTTTGCAAAAATAACGTAACTTTTAGACTCACATTATTTTGGAATGGGGATAACATGGTTGTTTTTATGCATATACTGGAGATAAGATCATGAATTTTGTTGTTTTAACTTTACTTCGTTTGGTGTTACCACCAAAATTCATGATCTAATACCCAGTATATGCATAAAAACAAGCATACTATCCTCTAGATATAATGTTATGCCATCAATAAATGTGCAGGCACCCTCACATCTCTCAATCAAAGGCAATGTTTGAATGCTAAAGTTGACATACCAACATAGAAAGCATTTCCGTTACCATGACAACACCATACTATCAGATGTTGTCAATTTTTCATGGAGTTAATTCTGTACCGAGTTAGCTAACATGAAGTGTGTGTTCCCCTATGTACTAAACAAACAGCAGCATTTTGTATGGTAGCCTGACAATCAACAGATGTATTTTTTCATGTTTTTATGTACCAGTTCAGAAGTTATCAGCAAGTTACCACCACAGAAAATGATAATTACTGGCAAAGGGTAAAGTTGATGTGGGTGCCTCTAGCTATACAATGTCTGTCCTATCATTTCCACTGGTAACACGACTGATAGACCCACCTAGTGCTAATTAGTGGTTATCTTTTAGAGTAGAGAAAAGGATATTGTGTGGTTCAGAAAAAGGGGGCGGGGAGAAGAAGTATCTACTTCAGTTATTTTGTTGTGAAGGAGATAAAAAAAGTTTAATAAATTCACAGGCGCATGTTTTTGAAGTCTATTTGCAATAACACTAATTATACTCCAGGATTTGTCAAGAAAACATTGGCATTATAAATTAAGAAATAGATATAATGTATAGGACTTCACTCTGGTGATTATATATACTACATTGTGTGTTTTGATATTGAAATAATGAGTTGTGGGTATGAAATTGTTATAGATGTAATATAACATAAGCAAACCTAATTCTGCCTAACATTTTATAGTGCAGATTTTACCAAAAAGGCTATAAAGATTGACAGGGTAGCCTGTTGTGCATTGGATGGTTGTAAAAGCATCAGTTGAACATGTTCAGAAACTGATCTTTCTGTGTGTTGATAAAACTTAAAAACAAAATAGATAGGTTAGGAGACAGAAGGCTGTAGACAGATTACAGAGGAACAGACAGGATCAATGATGTTATGTATAAATGTCTGGTCGTGGAGAAGGCAAGCCACAGGTGATTCAGGGGGCATGGCTGGGTTTTAGGGAGGAGGGGCTGAGACAGGGTGTCCAAGAGAAATCTGATGATATACATGTGTGTGGTCAGGAAGGGTTTGACCAGTAAGGGAGAGAAGAGATAAAACAGGTACAGGAAAGCATAAACCAGTAACTAGACCTCCCACACCAGAAAATTCACTCCAGTTTTATTCTCCACTGTCAGGCCTCATATACTTTATACTGTAAAATTAAAGACTTGTTAGGTTTCCTTTAGGCAAGGTTGGAAAGTGGTTAACAGGACATACAAATTACATATTACAATAATCAAAACAGTGATTACTTGTTGTGTATACCGTACAGTCGCTTTTATTTTTGAGGGTGAAAAATTTCACAATTTTCATTTAGAATGGAAGAATTAAATTTTAGCTAATTAAATTTTCCTATCTGGCTATATTGTTCCTGCCAGAGTTAGTTAATGATTGTAAAATATAAGGACAGTTTTCATCACAGTCTATTTTGCTGATAATATTCACGCGTGTGTAATTATTTCACAGATCTAATTATTTCATACATTTCTCTGATGATGTCAATGACCTCCGAAATAGCAAAATATTTATCCTCACCATGTTAACTGGCTATATGGAACATTGTGACTACAATACATATTACATAGCAAAATTATCATCCCCAGGAAGTTAACTGGCTATATGGACATTGTGACTACAATACATATCACATAGCAAAATTATCATCCCCAGGAAGTTAAATGGCTATACTGAATTTTGTAACTACATTATATATTACTGTATCTTCTCACATAAGTGTGTGTTTGTTTATGAAATAAAAACTGCAGTTAAAACCTGAAAAAGTTTAAGATTAAGATGATCTCTGTTACCTGGTATACATATATCTTTTATGTGACTGTGTGATTTCAGACCACCAGAACTACTTTGGAATAGATGAAAACCTGGGTCCAGTGGCAGTCAGTCTTAGACGGGAAAAGTTGGAGGATCGAGAGAACAACTTAGGGAAAGCTGAATATGGCCAGTACCAGTACAGAATTATCTTCAGGACAAGTCAGGTGAACTAAACATTCTCTATGTTTCCTATATAATGCAAGAGAAGATATACTCCAGTCTATCCTTCTGTTTACCATGTACACAAATTACATATACCAGATAGAGAGAAAAGGTCACTATATGTATAGCATCTGTCCCTTACACTCACACACACACTGGCAAGGGAGTCTACCCACATAACAGCTGTCTGTTCCTCATGAAGAAGGGAGACTACCCATATAGCACTTGTCCTCAACATTCTTACCCCTCAACTGTGTCCCAAAATTCTGTTTGGTTGTGATCATCTTACCTGTGCACAATATAGTATTATTATGCAATCTTTCCATCAAATGGTATGTGCAGCTTTCAATGAGAATCATAAATGATAATTGATAATTTCACTGCCATTGATATACGAACCACACACATACATCTTTTATTTCTTTTTTAGAGACATTTGTCATTTGTTCAATTAAATACCTTTACATTTTATGCTTTGGTAGACCTGGAATTGATTATCTGTTGATGCATGTATGAAATACTTCATAATATCATGTTTATGTCTGATGTGATGTGATATTAAGAGGATTATGCTGTATTTAGTAGTGTTTCGATTAAGATACAGATAAAAATACTGATTGGACATTTAAGCAAGTCTCAGGCTTGTATTATATAGGAAATCAGTCAATATTTTTTCATTTTTGTCTTCTCGTTTTTTCTAGTTGGTTACCTTGAGGGGGTCAGTGTTGGAGGATGCTATCCCATCGTCAGGGGGTCGGCTGAGCAGCTCTCGTGGAATTCCAATCAAAGATATCCTGGATTTTGCCCTTCCAGAGCTCCAGGCTTCCTGTCTGAAACAATCACTATCTAGTCAGAAAACTTCCGACCAGCTACTCAAGTTGGACGAACAAGGGGTAAGTTCATAAGGTCGAAGGCTAGAGAAATAGTGTCACACGAATGCTAGCATGATGTAAGGCAAAATATTTACCGAAGTTGTTTAATCTTTACTGGTGTATTGATTTTTCACATTTTGAAACTTCAGACTTAAAGAATGGTGATGTTAAATTTTGTGAATAGTTAATGCCAAATGAATTGATTTTCCCATAATGTTAGTCACTGTGTCAAGGAGTTTAAATCTTATTACCGTGTTATGTTAGTGGGTTTCAAAGTGTCATGAGAACAGATACAAGTCCTGATGAAATCAAATTTTAGTTATAGAATTTAGTAATAGAATTTATTTAAATTTCAGTAAAGGATTTCAGTTTGAAGGTTGATACGATTTTAATATTATGTAGAAACAGACAGACTTTTGTTTTGTTGCATTGAATTAAGATTGATCTTGAATTTTTTTTTTCTTCTCAACAGGTATCAAAAACGCACAAAATTGGAGTGATGTATTGTAGAAGTGGTCAGTCCACAGAGGAGGAGATGTACAACAATGGTAAACATATAACTTTGTGTCTGTTTAGGCAATTAATGCCACACTGGTACCACCAAAAGGAACTGTAGGTTCATCAATGGTATTTTGCTTATACCTGTAGCCTAAAGAGGCTATATGTCAATATCTTTTGGGATGTCAGCATGTCACATGCTGTAATCCAAGTTATAAAGAGTTATTGCCCTTTATTCATGATGCATATCTGTTGTTTTACACTTAATAAAATAAAAGAACTAGGGTTGTAAGAAATATCTCATACAATGGTGAAGTGTTTTCTACTGTAATTAGAATTATGACCCTTTGTTCATTTTCCAAACCATATTTCCTGCAGCTTGGGATTGTGGATTACGTCCATGTCACTGCCTGTTTAATTAATTTGACTGAGTTGATGTTTTCTTCTTCAGAAACTTCTGGACCAGCATTTGAGGAATTCTTGAATTGTATTGCCCAGAAAGTGAGGTTAAAAGGATTTGAGAAATATAGGGCCCAATTAGACAACAAAAGTGAGTGTTTGTTTTCTAGAATATCGATTAAAGTGTTTTGAGTGTTCACATTACATAAACAGTAAAGAAATCCTTGAGTCCTGATGCTGTATCAACTCGTGAATGTACCGTTAACACAAATCTCTGAGATCTTTTAAAAAGTGGTGAAATTGTCACCTTACTGAATATACTAGTGTTGTAGAGAATATTTTAATACCTCAATTAAAAGCGAGAGTAAGTTTGACCAGATGAAAGAACAAGTCAATTTCTATTTGTCTTACAATATCTATGTTTAAATAGATAGGATTATCTTTAGAAATTTCATCTTCAGATGCTTCATTTCCAGGAGGAATCTTGTTTACATGTAAAACTGCTATTGAAATAAAATGTTTTGTTTTTCAATTTTGTTTACAGCTGATTCTACAGGAACCCATTCCTATTATGCAACCTTTAGTACTTGTGAGATCATGTTCCATGTGTCAACACTCCTCCCGTTCACACCTAGTAATAAACAACAGGTATGTCTGTCTACAGGTGTCAACACTACTCCCGTTCACACCTAGTAACAAACAACAGGTAAGTCAATCTACAGGTGTCAACACTCCTCTCCTACACACCTAATAACAAACAACAGGTAAGTCTGTCTGCAGATATCAACACTCCTCCCCTACACACCTAGTAATGAACAACAGGTAAATCTGTCTACAGGTGTCAACACTCCTACCCTTCACACCTAGTAATAAACAACAGGTAAGTCTGTCTACATATGTCAACACTCCTCCCCTACACACCTAGTAATAAACAACAGGTAAGTCAATCTACAGGTGTCAACACTCCTACCCTTCACACCTAGTAATAAACAACAGGTAAGTCTGTCTACATATGTCAACACTCCTCCCCTACACACCTTGTAATAAACAACAGGTAAGTCTGTCTACAGCTGTCAACACTCCTCCCCTTCACACCTAGTAATGAACAACAGGTAAGTCTGTCTACAGCTGTCAACACTCCTCCCCTTCACACCTAGTAATAAACAACAGGTAAGTCTGTCTACAGCTGTCAACACTCCTCCCCTTCACACCTAGTAATAAACAACAGGTGAGTCTGTCTACAGCTGTCAACACTCCTCCCCTACACACCTAGTAATAAACAACAGGTAAGTCTGTCTACAGGTGTCAACACTCCTCCCCTACACACCTAGTCATAAACAACAGGTAAATCTGTCTACAGGTGTCAACACTCCTCCCCTACACACCTAGTAATAAACAACAGGTAGATCTGTCTACAGATATCAACACTCCTCCCCTACACACCTAGTAACAAACAACAGGTAAATCTGTCTACAGATATCAACACTCCTCCCCTACACACCTAGTGATAAACAACAGGTAAGTCTGTCTACAGATATCAACACTCCTCCCCTACACACCTAGTAATAAACAACAGGTAGATCTGTCTACATATATCAACACTCCTCCCCTACACACCTAGTAATAAACAACAGGTAGATCTGTCTACAGATATCAACACTCCTCCCCTACACACCTAGTAACAAACAACAGGTAAATCTGTCTACAGATATCAACACTCCTCCCCTACACACCTAGTGATAAACAACTGGTAAATCTCTCTAGGTGTTGACTGTTGGTGTTTTATATCTTTTATTGATTTATTTCTGCTTATTGCATCATAAATGTAATCTGCTTTCTGATAGAACAGACCCTCACTTGTAAAGAAATTTCAGTTCTTTAATGATTATAAAATGTAGATAAATTACTGTTTTATATAACGAGTGGTTTTCTTTTGAACAGTTGCTACGTAAACGCCACATAGGAAACGATATTGTAACCATCGTGTTTCAAGAACCTGGAGCGTTGCCATTTACTCCAAAAGTTGTGCGGTCCCAGTTTCAACATGCTTTCATCATTGTTCGCTGTCACAAACCCTGTACTGAAAATGTCCATTACAGGTCTGTAACTGACTACTAGAATTGGGTATTATGGAAGTCAAAAAATGTGTTATGGAAGATTAAACAGACATCATACAAATTGTTAATTTCAACTCTGTCAGGGATTAATGGTTTTTACTCAAGCTAAAAGATGAATGCTGGTTAAAGCTAAAGTAGAATTTCCTGAAAATTGCTAATGTATCAGAAGTGAGCAATCCCAATAAAGGAAATATTCTTCTACAGGTATACCTTTTACTCAAAATGAGATTATGATTTTTTGAAATATATATCTGTGTGTGTATATTATTCGTCAGTATATTATTGAGTTGTTTTGTTTGTGTTGTAGTGTTGCTGTTTCTCGATCCAAAGATGTCCCTCCTTTTGGTCCTCATATACCAGAAAATGCCTTCTTTAGTAAATCCCAAGATTTTGCAGACTTTTTGTTGGCAAAATGTAAGTTATTAAGTCTCCTCAGAGGTTTAAACTCCAGGATGTTTTACATTCTGAAGTCTTTAGAATTAGTGTATCAACTGTATCCTTGACCAGTTCTGTTGCTAGTGATGATGAAATCAGCATATGTCTTCATTTTTTGGGAAACTGGTGTAATGTATATAAACAAAATTCATGCATTAGATAAAATCTGTCAACTTAATGATTTGTCAAAATTTTATACAGTAATAAATGCAGAACATGCTGCCCACAAGTCTGAGAAGTTCCTAGCGATGGCCACAAGGACACGAACAGAATACCTCAAAGATTTAGCCCTGAATCATGTTACGTCCAACACTCCTGATACCGGCTCCAAACTCAGTGAGTAAAATCATTGTTTGATGATTAATAGAAATTCTCCTTTTTGTGTAGTTAATTGGCTCCATATTCCTGATAAAACTTACTCAAAAATTCTTGATATTATTGGCCCAAAATTAGCTTGTTGATAACGATTCTAATACAAAGTTAAAAACATAGGACTTTGTTTTCCCATTTACCTCTGATTATTCCTACTTTGATGATTTCACACAACTTTCTCCAGATTTTTTTATTCCATATTTTATTTTCTCCCACAGGTAAATTTGGACTCGGCAGCGGTAAAAAGCGAGAGAAGAGTAAACAGAAAGTCATCCCCGACATGTTCTCTAGTGGTGCCATCTCGTGGAGTATTGTTGTAAGTGGATTTGATTTTTGGATTTTTTTTTTTTTAACATCTGAGAGGCTGTCAGCTGTTTATCATTGGATTTCATTCATGGCATTATGAATTTCAGATTTTATTGAATCTTTACCCATTGATTTTGTATTAATTGTTGTTTTAATTTTGAGAATCTTTAGAAAAATCTATGGAAATGTTGATAGTATCAATCACTCAAGAAGGTGCTGTTTAATGTTTGTTTTTAATCACAGACATTTTTATGGCAGGTGAACATAGCTTTTATTTTTCTCAGTCTGGGGGGGGAAAATCCTGAAAATTAAAGAGATACACACACCTTTGTCAGTATAAGTAGCATTTAAAATCATGGAAAACAAATTGTGCTAAATATTCATTTGCTATTGGATGGAATATTTATGAAGAAAGTAATCAGATAAGAATGAGTGATATTTACAAACTTCCTTCATTTGTTTGTAGGCTGAAGACTTTGGCCAATCCACCCAGGTAGACAGTATACTAGGTATCTCTGACGAAGTGCTGGTCATCACGGAGGAGAGCAGTAAACTGGTCATCTTTACTGTCCACTGTGGAGCTATAATAGGCTGGACGTCTCAGGCCACAAGGTTAGATTGTAGAATGTATGAATTTGGGTCAGAACTTTTCAACCTATTACAGAACCAACAATGGTGTTTGTACATCTGGTACAACTCTGATGAAGGATTCTGTTTAGTTGCTACAAATGTGCTGAATTTGGCACAATGAAAATTTAGCATAGTATCACTTTTTTGGCAGTTAACACAATGATAAATTTGTACATCCAAAAGAATTAATATATAAACACCTAAAAAAACTGCAATTATTTTAACTCGGTTTCAATACAAAAAACACTAAAATAAAGTTAACACTAAAATTGTACTTTTACATTAATTATTTAAGAAAGACACTGTTTTTAATGCTTAACAATTTATTCTGCCAGGCATGGAAGTTGTAGAGATTATATAACAGATTTCTATTGTTGGTAGACACAAGTATGTAAGTCATGAATCTATTACAGATTTCTATTGTTGGTAGAATTTAGTATGTAAGTCGTGAAAGCCAAACTTTTTGTACTAGAATACTGTACGCTGAAATTTTTGAACTACTTAAAATTAGTCCTCTTAGTGTGGTTGTTATTTTGGTATAAAGAAAAATGCTTATTTTTTGTAGTGTAAAAGTGTTCTACAATCAAGGAGAAAGTGTGTTATTTAAGCCCCAGAGTGGAGAGATGGAGGAAATTAGTGAGATCTGTACCAGGCTGTCGGCTGTTTCCCAGGGCTGTGAGGTAAGTCTATATGTCTGGATGATTATAAAACCCACTTTGTGAAGAGGATAAAGAATAATCACTTTGCATGTCCATTTGTTCATCTGAACATGCAAAACCATCTGATAAAGCCCTGGATAGGTTAGATAGTATTTTGGTAGTCATTTGTCAAAATTAAATATCAAAGGTCACCCATGACTGCTTTTGAAATGAAAATAAAAAAACCTAAATGTACGTGATATTTCATGAACCCTGTAACTTATTTATCTCACGCTCACACCAGAGTATCACACAGACAAATCAGACATCTTATCAGGTTTTGGTGGTCATCAATTTGGTTAATAGGTCAAAGGTTACCACTAACCTATTTTGAAATAAAAAGATTGTGTTCACACCATCAAAGTCACCCTCAAACACTTATAAAATAAAAAGCTTATGTTCAAGATACATATGTATTTCATCCAACCATTCAAAATTTATGGGAAAAAAAGGCTCTGTGCAATTTGTTTTACAATATACATAAACATGAGATTGTAAGGTCTATACAAATGGCTTCTTCTAATTCCCGTCCATTTGATATTGAACATAAAAGTGAGACTGAAATAGAATCTATTTGATGTTGTATGTGCATGTGAGACCATAAGGGTGTTAGTGGTCTTACAGCCTCATAACATTTCCTTGTGGTCCTAGCAACAAGACACATCTTTACACCTTTTTCACTCGACCAAATTAAGATGCTGAAATGGTGGTTGTCATTTCAGCAGTTCAATTGTTGAATGTGCTGGTTATTTGAGATAGCGGAATTCTTTACAAGGTAGACACAGTTGTGTAACAGGGTGTTTGGTTACATTTTAGTGTGACAGGTGGCCATGTTGTAATAGCAGGCTGTTATCCTGTGTTTCACAGTGAGACTACTTATCTCAAAGAAATTTTCACACCTGCCTCAGTCGGTTATCATCTTCAATGTTTATCAGTGATAGTCTCTTTGCACAGCATTCAAATTTCATATGATACATCTGTTAAGATAACTTTAATATTTATCAAGGTTTTTAACATTATGATGATTGCCATTCCTGTAGAGCTGACCTTCAGATTGTTGTTCCTGTTGGGCTGACCTTGAGATTGTCATTCCTTTAAGGCTGACCTTGAGAACTTTTTATCGAAATCTAAGGTTCATTTGAAAAAGAAAATTAATATTGGCACCTATTCCTAGTTTGCATGAAAAAAATATAGACAATTCAACAAAGAATGAAAAAAAAATGAAAAAAAAATATGCATACATGTAAAAAGTGTTTTTTTATAATTGAAATAAGAGTTTAACAATTTTTCCTTCAGACATTAGATATGACATTACGGCGCAATGGTCTAGGTCAGCTTGGCTTCCACATACAGACCGAAGGAATTGTTACGGATGTGGAGCATCGTGGGTTCGCCTGGGAGGCAGGCCTCAGGAAAGGCAGCCGATTGGTTGAGATCTGCAAAATATCATCAGCAACATTAACTCATGAACAGATGGTTGATCTACTGAGGACTTCTGTCACTGTCAAGGTGGTAGTGATTCACCCGCTGGATGACGGGACCCCCAGGTATGTATGGTGTTCATACTAACTTTACCTGGTGTTACTGTTGGGTGTAGATGTGGGATTAATATTCTTATTTCAGGTTCTGTATACTGTCATAGATATTCCTCAATTGTGTAAAAGTCTTTACTCAATGATATGACCACAGTCTAAAAAGGTCTATATATCCACACTCAAATGTTTCACTGCAATTTATAGAAACAGAATATAACAATAAATAGACATTATGGTAAGCACCCCAAAATTCAGAACCATTGAGTTATTAGTTTTGCACCAGATTCTTGTTAGTAGAATCAGAACAAAGGGATAGTGGATAGACATACAACATAACACAGCATTCAAAGTGGGAGTTTTTATAATTTGATGTATAAACCAGTATCTTTATTTCTATTTGTTAGGGACAAGTCAAATGAAAATTGTTCAAATCAGACAAAGCATTTTATTTAACTTTAGGACTGAAATATTTTGATGTAGTAAACACATTAGCAATAACAACATTAAGTTAAATTAGAAGTCAAGGTGTTTCTGCAGTTTTAAAATCATTAGCAATGCACCGATCAGAAAAGATCTTTTCACACCTGACTTTTCCTGTGTACATTAACTCACATGTATCTGTGATACCTTGTGATTTCATCAACAATCTCTCCACACTTCCCGTGCCTTATTAGATATTTACAATTATATCGTCAAAACATTTTCATTTCAATCACATCATTCTATTGGAAATTCTGTGAACTTGATCCATAGCTCTGATTGTTGATAACATTCATTAGTAAAACTCCGGAAAACATTTCTGGTACATGATTATCAATCACTGATACATCATGTAAGATATGTTCATGTTGTTTACAATTCATACAAAAGTTCCAAAAATAATTCTGCTCTATATCCTTATTTCCTAGCTTCTTGTTTACCCAGGTTACAACTATATATACTATTAATAGCCTTATATATACTTATTATCTGAATCTCACTTCTCTATAGTATTACTTCATCACCATAGTCATGGAATTGTTCTTATTAATTCTTACAATCTTTTGCTCATCTCATAGTATAGAATCTTTTGAAGCTAGTTATTTACTTTTCATAGTTAACACAATCTGAAAACAATTTCTATCAATCTATAGGTCTGAAATTTAATTTGAAGTATATATACGAACTGAAAAAACTGTCAAATGTTGGTAGAAACTACCATTTAAAATTATACATTTATTCTATACTTCATATAGAAAGCATGCTTATTCATGAAAGGAAATCTTCACTCAACAGCCTTCAGCATTATCTTGTATCAATTTATACCATTGCAAAAAGGTCAGTTTTTGCAAAAGGGAAAGAAAAGGTACTTTTATGCCTTGTATAGAAAAGGAAAATCTCATCTTCAGTAACAAATGAAAATTTTATGGATTGGCTTACATGGTACTAGTTTTTGACTTTGTGAAGATTTCCACTTTGGCTTTTCATAATTATGATTCATATATATATATATATATATAAAAACATATATTATACTGTGGACATGTAAGTGTGACATGTAAACCAGACTTCTGTAAACCTATTCATAGCCTTGTCTTGCCTGAACATCCGTTTTTCCTCAGAGAATATCCTTTTCATAATCCTTTTATTTTCCCTCGTATCATTTGGACAGTTGTCAATCAAATGCAGTGTTTCTGTTATCAGTCTCAGGACCAGTTTCTTAACATCTATTCTTATCATTATTCAGACATATATTTGGCATCATTTTCAAAGTAAATATTAACAAAAATAGTCTTTTTCAAAGTCAACTTTCAAATTTCCATTGTCATTTTTAATGTCATTATTCAAATTTATACTAACAAAGTTTCATTCTAAGAGGAAGGGAAATTCTACATCATATAAGTTTGACATCTTTTTTTCCTTGTCCTCTCATTGGCCAATGTCTGGTTTGCAGTGTCCTCTAGATATATTTATCCTACACATTGTAATCAGATGAGCGTCACATATCATTGCTTTTGGCAGGGGTGTTGCTACACTTCACACTAACTGCCACTACTCCTCCCTGACCACCCTCAATGCTGCCATGCAAGCCAATGAGCATGTGCAACAGCGTCAGAAAGAGGCTTCTACAAACTTCAGCAAGTCTACCGAGTACATTCCAAAGACGGGACGAGAAACACCGACAAGGAAGTCTGCAAATTCTGACGATTTTCTGTTTACGGACTCATCATCAATCAATCTAGCAGGATCACTGGATCATATACACTTGCGAGGGGAAGCTTCAAAAATTATTTCAACTGTGACAGAACACAACTTGCTCCACCAGAGGGAGCTTTCACGAGTTTCCTCTAGCTCCAATGAGTCTTACCACCTGCGGGAAATATCACTCTCCACTGAAGCTGTTGCTAAGGAGCAGAGACGGGACTCTCGCATTTCCAGCAGCTCTAGTGAACAGGGGCCAGCTAGTCCACCCATCCATACAGAAAATACCAAAATGATATACGAGACACAGAGGGGCTGCCTCACACTACCCCTACAGAAAAAGTCAGCACAGTCTAGGTACTACCCCACCCACCTGCACTCACCTTGGCTAACTAACTCTGCTTGTCTGCTTCCTCATCCTACAGTCCTGGTATAATGACCTTGACCTCAGATGTATTATTCTACATTTTTTTCTGTTTGACCTTCACATTTGTTTCAGTTCCTAGGATTTTATTTGGAATGATTACCTTTTTTATGCGATATCGTTTCTATAATGAAAAATTTCCCGTTTGTTTTTGTTTTAGTTGACGTTTGAAAAACCCTGGTTTTGGTATATTTTAATACAACCTTTTGAGTTTGTGTTATTGTGTTTTATCAAAGGTCTTGTTTATCTGTGTTTTGTTTATATACATGCATGCCTTTTGTTATCTGATTATTTTTGTTTATCTGCCAGCCACAGATGCCACCTATAAATCTTATTTCCTTCTATATCAGTGTATTTAATTTGATCTGATTTGCATATTCAAATTCTTCTCACCAATTCTATCTTTGAATCGATTTGATATCACAAAAAGTTCTTGATTATGATGATTTATTAATTAATGAGAACAAGAAATGCTTACTGCATTGTTTATGTGGCTGAATCTACATCAAGCTTATACATTTAAATATGTCTTGCCTTTCTTTGCTTAAAAACTTTTCAATTTTAAATATTTTTTGATTACCAAAATCTTCTTGAATAATTACATCAATGCTTGTTTGATTCCCTAGAGAATCCAATGATGTTCCATGTGTTAAAATAACTAGGTTATTTAAGGACATTAATTCTCTTTAAAAAGAGTTCTTCAAGATAATTAATGATTGATGACAGGAGATCAATCTAAAACAAATATTACAGGTATAAATTGAACAAGGTAGAATTATCCTTAAGCAATGTTTTGGAGAGGTTTGAATAAGAATTTTCATTTAAATATTCATTTAAGTTTTTACATTTTATGAATATAGTATTTTCACAATAAAAACGTCATTAAGAAATAGTATTTTTTGAGAATCCATCCTTGTTAATAAATTTAAAAAAGACAGATTTATGGAAAACCTACCTGTATAAATTACTAATGACAAGTTATCTGTGTAGCTTAGCTAACGACGGGTTACCTGTATCGATTAGCTAACAACAGGTTATCTGTGTAGATTAGCTTACGACAGTTACCTGTGTAGATTAGCTAACGACAGGTTACTTGTGTAGATTAGCTAACGACAGGTTACCTGTGTAGATAAGCTAACGACAGGTTACCTGTGTAGATTAGCTAACGACAGGTTAACTGTATAGATTAGCTAACGACAGGTTAACTGTATAGATTAGCTAACGACAGGTTAACTGTATAGAGTAGCTAATGACAGGTTACCTGTGTAGATTTGCTAACGACAGGTTACCTGTGTAGGTTAGCTAACGACAGATTATTTAAAACAGAATTATTACCACTGTTAAAACTACTATTTGTACTAAATAATTTAATTGAAGAATTCATCATAAAGTTTTGTTTCATCAATCAGTGAAATAAAGTGTCGTTGCTTTCATACAAAAAGAAGTAATTACACTTGAGAATGCATAAGATCTGTCTTAACATTACAGAGGTGACATGAGAGCATCCCCCCTGAAGGGTCTTAGCCCCAAGTACCGCGAGTTCCGCCAAGGTATCTCTAACATAACTACTGGTGGGCCAGGGCTACACCATGCCTTTACAGAACCCATTCTTTCTAAATCTTCTGTTGACGAAGGCTATGGCACGTCACGACATGGCTCCGACTTGTCCACACGAACTGATGATATTCGACATGAACGCACAGGGTCCAAGGACAATGGGGACTATGCTCTGATTGGTAAGTTGATATTTTATTAAGATGATATTTGTGTGTCTATTTTGACCAATTTCTTAATACTTGTATATTTGCCATTTAATATAAAGGGTAGAGATACTATATGCATTTGTCCTTAGCAAAAAATTTGGGCACCTGTTTAGATTGAGGTCAATTTACTTTATTTGTCAACATCAAATTCTGCACCAGATAAGATTTTGATGGTTATCGCCCAAAGTCAAAGTAAAGGGTTCAAAGGTTACAGCTGGCCACTTCTTGAAATTTCTATAGAGTAATTACTGGGAGCCACATATGCCATGTCTTTACCACATGCTAAGGAGGCAGTAGTTAACGTAGATAATCATTTAGAGTATGTGTAGCCAGAGAACCAAGTTTTCTGTTGTTTAGTAGCTTGTCAATTTTCAAGGTCACCAAAACTTAATGACCTTCATTCTTGAACCAGAACTCAATCATGCATGCACTTTGTATAGTTTAAGATTAGATACATATTGTAGAAAGATATTGTTTCTGATGTGCACAGGGCACCAAATTTTTCAAGTTTGTAGGAGTTACTTCCCTTATCTTGCAAGTTTTATTTGCGTGTGTTAAAGTGTACATGACAGTGATGTGATTTAAAAGTGCTTTACAGAACATTGCTTTGTAATATTTAATCTAGTTATAAACCACAGTTTGTGATGTAGATTATTTAGTATCAGTAAGAAATGGAAATTGATTTTTTTTTTAAACTTTTTTTACCGTTCAGCTTTCTGTAATTCTCAATGTTGTATATCCAGAGGGTATTTAAGAGATATTGGTGAATGGCTATATTTATATTTGATATGGTACATATATTATATGGAGTGTATATAATAATATATATTATCAGATCATGAGAGATCTCTGGTTTAGATAAACAACCACATGCTTTTGACTCGGTCCAATAAAGCTGTATAGCTATAGGCTCTGTGAACTTAATGAACCATGTTATCTAGCTTTTATTCAGTTTGAGAAAAGGAAAACACATAGTAAATTTGATGATATACATCAAACTTTCATTGATAAATGAGTTGGTGATTCAGTTTAAAGATACTATTCACTGAATAAAGTCAAGCTGTCAATACTTCAATATTGTAGCAAATCAAATCCACAAAATTACAACTCAGTTACAACTCAAAACTTTCTTTAACCTAACAATCCTTTGGTTCTTACTATATTTTCATTGACTGATTTGTACTTGGGACAGTTTTTCAAGGTCATGAAATGAAAAAGGTTTAGAATAGCTAAATGAGTATGTAAAAAATAAAATCTAATATTTCTAATTCCAAATAAAGTTAACTAGTCTGTCATTCTTATTATGTTCAATTATAACGAGTTTATATATCTCGTGTTATAGGGTTGGTTGATTTCTAGAGGCCTCATTATAATGGTGTATATTTTAAGGTATATAATTAGGATCTATTACTATCAGGTTTTGGACATCTGTTAGGGTGTGTTTATACCATAAATCTCAGTGTCCCTGATTGAACACATAGTACAATGATATGAGTATTATATTCCATGTCCAGCTCTCTTAAGGCCAAGTCTTAGAACAGTGTAAGTTTTGTATATCTCCTTAAAGACTCCAGGGTACAGAGTCCTGTAGCATTCTCAGCAAAGGCGACCTCAAGGATTCAAATATTCTGTGTTGATATATAATGGTTCTATATAGAGGAAGTTGTGTTCAGTCAAGAGTTGATCTTCCATATTGCAAGATGTATTACTGGTGTTTGTAAGAGGTTTGTATGTAGTAGCATTGTAGCTTGGTTTGGTAGAATTTTTTACTCTCTTGAATCATCATGGTGTGAACATGAAAAACATGAAATAGTATGATGTTTTTGGTGTTAGGTACTGGTTAGCATCTAAATTGTCCAAATTTGATCATTAAGGTAATTATTACATTTTACAAAATATCATCACTAACAGGTTGTGCCTCTAGTGTTTGTTTCCCTCATGATCATTATACTTAGAACACAATAGTATTTTAAACTCGAGTCGGGTCATTAACTTTTAACCATGTTATTTTAAATACTTAAGAACCAACTTAGAGGTTTTTGACACTTCCTTGGGTTTCTAGAGAATGTTGTTTTAATAGAACAAAGAAAAGGATTGTTGTATATGATATCATCATTTCTGTAACAAAGCATCGTGGAAATCCTTTAATCTTTTCTCACACCAAATAATTGTCTTAAAGATTATGTAATCTTTTTTCTAGGTTTGACAATACCGGATCAATGTAGCTTTTGTTCTGGTGTTGTTTTATCATTGTCACATTAGTGGGCATTCAGTATTTCCTGTTGGTACAACACCTGTGACTGTTTCCTTGATACTGTGGTATTTTTATTACTAGATATAACATGAGGTTAATGATTGTGCTCGTAGATACGAATTGAGGAGTACAATGTACTACAATGTCCTCTAAATCACTATGGCTTAGGTTTTTCTTTTCATATTGGTGAAATTTAGAATATGAACTTCATTTTACAACAGTTGTGTTGGCTTTGATTGAATTTGCAAGGTTTCTTATGAGAAAAATAACTGATAGTACCTAGGCAAGAGACCCCTGTACCTTTCCGTGTCCACATTTGGAATCAAACCTTTGGCACCTCGGTGAAAGGCGTTAATTGGTTAGATTCAATTTTGTAGTTGGCTCTATTTCAATGAAAGGAGTTTGGTCATATTTCATGAAAGCAGGTGAAGGGTAATTTCATCAAAGAAAGAGAAGGGCATATGTATATCATATTTTTCTCCAGAGTTTTTATTTTTAGGGTTTACTGATATATATTGATGTTTTATAAAATGTGGCCAGACCTCACAAGTAAGGGAAACATAATAGTACATACACTCCCTCACCAACAAGGTCACCTGAAATCGCTCCACACAAAGTGTCAGAAAGAAATCTTAACACTTTTTGATACTACAAACTTTTATCAGGCAACAAAAAGTTTGATCTGGTTCCAAAACTTAGCAGATAAATGTTGGGTGACAGTTGTTAAATTAGGATATTTAAAACTGATCCTGACTGAGGTGAGATTACATCGGAGAGTTATCCAGTCTACAATCTGGTCACTTATTGTGAACTAGAACACAGGTGTTCATTGTTCCTCTAGGACGGGGGGTGATTGTGTTTTAGTTGGGATTATACTTGGATGTTTACAATATATATACATTTACAACTGTTTTAACTGGCAGGCGTTTATGTGGAGCTCGACAGACTCGGGTTTTTCTCAGGTAAAAATTTGGTGACAGTTGTGCTAAATGATCTATCAAAGTACATGTATTATATATACCCGAATGACATGATTGCATTTATATTGTAATGCTGGGGTAAAGTCCTGATTGCATATTGGATTGTATTGGGTTTTGGAATTATGTAACCCCTAACTGGTATCTCTGGTTCTATCCCTTTGTATAATTACCTGTATTATTGATGAGGGCAGTCTAACATCACTGACAATACACAGGTATGGTGCTTACCTATGGTCATGGCTAATACCTTCATTGATACTCTGTAATCTGTTCATTATATTCTTTACCCTGGAAGTATTGTATGTTGGAAGGCTACAAATTTGTTAAAAGCTAAAAACTTGTATGTAGGACCTAAGCTACTCTATTCCTGATATTTCTGATAGTCTTGCTAACATGGTGTTGGTACCTGTAGAATTCTTTGCTCTCTGGACAATTCAGTCTTACAATCTATATATTGCTGTTTCTTTAATATTACATTTTCCTGTGGTTGTGGACTAAGGCTATGTATTGATTTCACATTTATTCCTAATTTCAAAAAAGTTAAAAAAAAATTTGATTTTGGAAAATAATTTCGTAGAAAATATATGTTTATTTATACATACATAAATATTAATATTATGCAGTTTAGCAGATATTGAAGCCATTTTGAAGTATTTCCTTACCGGGCTCATTACCCCTTTCCTCCCTTAATAGACTAGTGTGTGGCATGAATCATCATAATCATACTGAAGAGATAAGGATAGGGTTGATAAACATGTGCCTCAATGTATGTTTATGTCAGTGATAGAGCTGCTGATTAAAAGGAGGGGGAAAAGGAGTTAAGGAGAGGGGGGGGACTGGCTCCGCACCAGAGGGTATATAGATATGTCAGTATATCTATGTCTAGCAATCTCTCTACAAGTCCCTAGCAAGTACAAGCATGTACTGCTGCTTCATAGTGTACAACTCTAACGTGTCACATATTTCCATAGTAACTATAATCAGAGTTCTTTAAAATCTAAATCGTAATTACACTTATAGATTTTATGACCAAATTGTGTAAAAGTTATTCCATTTTGGTCATAAATGGTTGCAAATTTATGGTCCTTTCTCTTAAAGGGTTATGAAGAAAGTTTCTCTGCAGTAAGTTCACAAATTTTCCCCGTTTTTTTTCTTTCTAAATACTAGAGGTTATATGGATATTGCTGCCAAAAAAAAAGATTCAGTAGGTAAAGGTGTCAGGGACTTAATTTGAAAATTTTAGTCATTTTATATGATTATTAATAGATCTATATCCTGAGGTCAAGGATGATATGCAGGATATCCTTCCTATATAACACAGGATATCCTTCAGGTCTTTCTGATACAGGTCAAAGGTTATTCAAGGGTCATTGGTGTGGGTAGGTGGGGCTTACTGTGTTGTTTGTCAACCCTATGGATCCTTGTAGCTGTAGGTGAGGGGTGTACAATTTTATAGCTCGGGGGAACTAGAAGGAGTGAAATCCCCTGTGGGTTTTTGGGAGGGGGACAGGAAGCGATAGGCCTCATTTCTCCCTCCACCACATGCTATCATACTGCATGTACATCATTAAAGGGCAGACTGAGGTGCTTCTAAGTCTGACACATACATCAACTACTTATAACTCTTTAATATACAACTGTTTTCTGTGTACACATCCACTCTTCAGATAGGAAAGCCACAAACTATACACATCACCGGTTCTCACACTTTTAAAGTTCTATCACACTTTGGCTTATGGTTTTTTTCAATACGGTACCGCTAGGATTTATTTGTAAGTTTGTGATGTATATATTTATATATTCCTGCAGTGATGAGCTGTTGTAAGTATTAAACTACTCTTGGGGTTTTGTACTGAATCAGTAAGGTAATCCGCTACTCAGAACAGGGGGCCATAAAGAGGAAGGAAAGAGGATGGGTTTTACAACAGGGGATTAACTTATCCTGTATATAATATTTGTACCTCCTGTGTTTGTGTGTAAAATGATGATCTTTGTTTTACAGGTGCTAGTGCAAAACAGTGGAATAGTGCTTCAGCAAGACAAAACCAGGTAAGATATGTCTCAATTATAGTTTTTAAGATTTAATTGAGTGGCTAGCAGCTTCCAACCAGGTATTCCCTCTCAATTACATTCATCTTGTTTCCTTAGTGTGGAATTGTATACAGTTTTTTTCATTTTTTTTTTTTTTTTCCGAGGATCATTTGAGGCCGAGTATGGGCCCCATTCCCAATTGGATTCATCAATAATACAATTGTATTACCAAATTCCCAAAGTATATACTTTACCCCTGAAAAATTCCTTTTCAGCTGATCAATCTTTCTCATAATGAGATTAAAAGGTCCTTTTCCAAATGAGTGGATAAAACCTCTGTTATGTGATGTATGGATAATCTCCTAATGCCAAGCCATCTTTCAGTAGCTTTTGTTCAAACTAGCATCTTAAAGATTTATTTAAATTTGCTCTTGTATATACAGGGCGTGTCTCGAAGATGGAATGAATCAAACTCCAGTGGGGACTCCAGCAACTACGGAGGCAGTTATATACACTTATCTGATAGTACTCCCAGTGTGACCTCTGGACCAACTTCATCACAAGGTCAAGGGCAGAGTAACACCACCTATCAGGTACCCAAGAAAAGTGCGACTCCATCAGACATTGAGGCTGCAGTAGCTGCAGTTAAACATGGCAACTTTTCACTTGAGCTGCTGAAACAGTCGCAAAACACAAAGTTCTTGTTGAGTCAAGGTCAAGCAGGAGTTGGTCAAGCAGAACGTAGTACTGGTAATTCTCAGAGCTCTAGTGTCAATCTCAGTGACACATCTTTCTCCAGCGGGTCAAGTCACAACTCCGCCAACGCTCTTCTTAGCAATCGAGGGCAAGGTCAAGGTCCAAGTGACCATACAACTGCAGGGTACAACAAATTGTCATTAGAAGATACCAACAGGAAAAGGGCAGACTCGGCCTCAACAAATAGTAAAGGGCGGCCAGCCGGGCTTTTACAGGGTCGTCACCAGTTACAGTCCTCCTCACCACTCAGTAGCGAGAACAGTAGTCCCCGATCATCTCACAAGTAAGAATTAAGACTTACTTACCTCTCAACGTGAGTGAGCTTTATGTTGACGATAAATACTTAACGAGAATGGGATCATTTTGCAATCAATTTTTTTTATTTAAGTTTCATTCATGTATGTTATTTTAGATAACAAAATTATCTGTTTTTCAAATCACAGAAATCTCTCAGGAATGTCTTCAGAAGAATCTCTTAACACACGTCTACGACCAGGTGTGACGACAAAATTGTCGCGAGCACAGGCCAACAATAATCTTGAAGAGGAGCTCATGAGACTTATAGACCCTGATATCACCAACACAGAGTTACGGGGTGTCATGGTGAGTGTGTTATCACAAGTGCTGCCTCTGTAAAAGTTCATTGGATCTGATATCTACCAGAACAAGAAATAAGTATGGTGACTGGTACATATTTATGTTTTGCAGCACGGGGAGGAACTGTCTGCAAGTCACATATACAATTGGATTAGTTTTGATAGTAAATAAATTAAATTGATAAAGAGATCAGACAGTAAATAAATTAGATTGATAAAGAGATCACAGAGTAAATAAATTAAATTGATAAAGAGATCAGACAGTAAATAGATTAAATTGATAAAGAGATCAGATTATCAGCATTCGTATGCAATGTAAATATATATTTGTGTTTTTTATATCAAACATCTCTTTTGTAGTTGAATGCAGGTATGAAACCAAAAACTGCAAAACTGAAAAGGACTATGTCAGAGGAGAGCTTACATAGCCTGAAGGGTGCAACATTGTCTAGTTCTCTAGACACTAACTTGACGGATGTGATCTTCTCCACCACCACACCCTCTTACAAACAAGACAAGGCCAGGAGGTATGTAGACCCCACAACGTATGTCTTCATTAAAACCATACAGTGGCTCATACACTGTTATATCTGCAAATCATGTTCGCAAAAATAAATAAAGTGGTATCTTTGGTCTAAACCACAGTCAAAGGAACTAAAACTGATGTCTAATTCATACCTACACTGCCAGTATGTTGTTATACTGTACAAGTGTCATTGTAATAAGAACTGTAATATTCTTGAATTAATTAACTGAATATTGGTTTTTTTTTCTGTTCAGAATGTCACCAGGCGAAAGCTCAGTGTTAGACAGTCTGACCAAAGCTACAGTAAAACCTGGAGCTAATGTTCCCCTGCCGGATTCCACTGCTGGCCTGGAGTGGTCAAGTCTGGTCAATGTTGCCACAAAAGCCATAGAAGGAACAGGTAAGTAACCATGTGTCAAATCCCAAACATTGGTACATATGGACTTATTCTGGATACCTTAATGCCAAATGTTTGATATTGGGAATTCAATGAAGAATTTACTAGGCTACCAAAAGGTTACAATTTCTAAACCAAAGTACCTTCATATAAACGTTTGATCGTAGAATGGGCTGTCATCAGCTAAGAACACTCCTCACTGACCACTTCGAATCTTCTCCTGGAATGTCATGTAAGTGGCAAGTCCACAGTGATTGGCTAAATAACTGCCCATTAATGGATGACTTCCAGCTCATTTCCTCCCTTCTCCACCTATACCATCTGGACGACTTTTGTGCTGTTGTTGCTAGTCGTTAAATAGTTGACTTTCAGTCTCTTCTCCTGATTGCTCAATGCTCATGACCATTCATTTTATTTGCTGTGACTAGAGTAGTGTGTTCAGGCATAGATATGTTCGGACAACCTCTGGAAAGAACAATCTTTGTCCCAAGTCAACACTAATCTCCCAATTCTGAGCTCTTTCCAGTATCCCTCCCCAATGTACTATTGTGACATGGTTGGTTGTCTGTCCAGATCTTGGAAAGTAAGTTTCATTCATCTTTTTTTCCATCTTTCATGCGCCAGCTTGTCTGCTAGGTACCAGGGTAATGCAAAACTTTGTTGTGCCTTCATACATATCTCCCTTGGGTTAAAGCAATATTGCACAATGACAGCGGATGGACCAGGTTATGGGGTTTGGACAGTTTTCTGTCAACTCCTATTCATAAAGGTTGGTTGGTGTTGGTAGAACATCATAAACCATTTCTTAAATTAAATATCTTTGATCTGATATAATAAATCAATGATCATATAGTCTTTCTTATAAAATTTCATATTAATCTAGATAAAGTTCCCTCAGTTTAACTCAGTATCTGTCCTTGCAATTTGATATTTTTATAACACATAGATTCAAACATACTTTCAAAAATTGTTTGCAAAAAACAGACAGATTGTGTAGTCCCAGGGATGTCTAATTTGGAATGTGAATATGGTACCAGAAGATCAAAATTTAACATGAGTTTAAAAAGAATTGGAATCTGAAGTTATTGCTTTGCATTTTTTGCAAAGACAAATTGCTGGTGAAATGTCAGAAAGATATTGTTTATAGAAACTCGGCTTATTTGGTTTAGGAATAAATGGTAACATCTTTATCTAGAGCAGGAAATCTAATTTGGTTGTGTAATGTAGTTAGCAAGAATTTTGAGGTGAATAATTTGCTTCAAGCCACATCACAAAAACAAGAAATGGATGTTAAAGGATGTGAAATAAGACCCATCAATAGTGATTAGCACCGAGTAAACGTCAGGGCTGGTTTGGTCTCGTATTGATTAGGTTTAGGCTTGTAAAGTCAATATCAAACTCTAGAGGTATTTATATGGACTCGGGAACAAGCAGCAGAAAGCAAGACAGTGTGCTTGGCACAACAGACAGCTTCTCTGTACAACAGATAATGGTTCAACACACAGCAGATTTCAGAGGAAGTCTTTAGGAGAGGGGAGTCATATTTGCTTAATTTAATTTATTTTTTTTTGTATTGAAAATCAGAACAAATGCTGATTCATTGTCCTTTAATATGGCTACCTCCTAACATTGAATCAAAAATAATGTGTTTGCTCCCTGTGTTCCTGTGTTCTTGATTAAATAAGGCGACACTTCCTTCCACTATACAGCCTGTACTTAAGGACAAAGGATGGCCTTTTTCTTGTACAAATGTTCCCATTTACTCAGTTCTAAAAACAAAGCTGATGAATTAGTTGGATTTGAAGTTGATTTGTATATAAATCTAGGGTAATAAAAAATATTACTGCCTGATGGTTTAGTAATGCATGACCAGGACAGATCTTTAAATACCATAATTAGGGCCAACTGTGAAGCCATGATCAGGACCCACTGCTAATTGTATAAACAGAATCCACTGCAAATAGCATGATCAGGACTCCAGGATAAAAACCCACCACAAATAGCATGATCAGGATTCTCTGATAATGGTATGATCAGGGCCAACTGCTAATAGTATGATCAGGGCCCACTGCTTATAGTATGATCAGGACCCGGTGCTAATAACATGATCAGGACCCACTGCTAATAGTATGATCAGGACCCAATGCTAATAGCATGATCAGGACTCAAGGATGATAGCATGATCAGGACTCAAGGATGATAGCATGATCAGGACCCACTGCTACTAGCATGACCAGAACCCACTGCTAATAGTATGATCAGGACCCCCTGCTGATAGTATGATCAGGACCCACTGCTACTAGCATGATCAGAACCCACTGCTAATAGCATGATCAGGACCCACTGATAATAGCATGATCAGGACCCACTGCTGGTCTTACATAAAGATACAGCTGGTTTCATGGATCATGCATGATATTGGTCCATCTGTACATCGGACTAAACTTTGATCTCCAAAGACTTTTCCAGATTCTGAAATGTCGACATATCCGACTGATATGCTGTCAGGATTCTTTTGTATCTAACATTATTGCACTTGCCCATCATATTGAAAATTGTTGCTAAGGTTGTGTGTCATTGTGGAATTGCATTTCACCTAATTTTCATGTTACTTACTGGTGTGTGAGACATTACAAGGACTTTCTGACCTGTCATTGTTCTAGCTATGTTGTGGAAATTAGAATGGTGATACCATATGATTTAAGCGACACATATGCTGGTCTAAAAATAACTTTCAGTGGACTACAGAGGCTGTGTGAAGGAATGGTTGTTCACTATCAGTCTATCTATTAAAACACTATAGCTGCTGTAGAAAATCAATACACCAATGGTAGTTAATGCTTGTGTCTCACCTGTCAGTTGGCACACACACAGCTGATCGGTAGTTTGGGAGTAAGTATCAGTATTCGGGGACACAGGATTGTACAGATATATAGTGGCTGGAAGACATGTTAAGACAAGGTAAGCATCAATCCCTGGGGATACAGGATTATATTGATGTATAGTGACTGGGAGACATAATGAGATGAGGTAAGCATCAATCCCTGGGGATACAGGTTTGTACAGATATATGTGGGCTTAGAGACAGGATATGTTATGACAAAATGGAAAGCCCTCAATGTGCCACCTTATGGGTGATACCAATTGACAGTTAATCCTGCATACCTTTGATCTTCTTGATACAAGATAAAAGGAAATCTTCTGAAGCATTTTAAGGTTTTAATTCAATCTAGTAACTCGTGTTTATAGAATTTTCGGATTTCAAAAATAAACGAAGAGTTATAGAATAATCAGACACCGCCAAATTAGATTTTTTAACTAGCTTCAGCACAATAAGGTTCAGTTTTGTGTCATTTTATTGTTGTAGGTACAGAAGGGAAAGGTGCAAAAGCCAAGGTGCCATCTACTATAGATGTAAAAGAGGAAAAGACAGTGAAAGAATCAACAAAGAAATCTGTCCTCACCTCCACCACCTGTCCCACCAACTACAGCTCTAAGTAAGTACAAGAACACAATATTTTTATATTTGCAAGGTACAGAAGTTACATACTGTTACTTTTCAGAAGATGGTCTCCATGATGCATGACGTGGTCTCTTGTATTCCAAAAATTTTATTAAAAATTGGTTATAAAAGAAAACTTTCTAAAAGTACCTGGTATCAGATTGAAATTTGATTCAACTAATTGTTTTATAAATATTTGTGTGGAATATTGATTCTTTAGTGCCTCATTTTCATTTTGATATGAATTTCTAAGAAGTACTAAAACATTTGAATTACAATTATGGATGAAAAAACTGTACTTCATAGTCATTTGACCATTACAATACTGCAAACAGAAAAAGAAAAAAATTGAATATATCAAAAATTGTTTCTTAATTAACGGACAAGAAAATACATATAGAATACATGGTATATGAAGGAACAGGTGGACTACTATAATGGGTAATTGAATATGCTATTTGGACATTTTAGTACCCCAGTATGGAGACCTGTAGTGCCAAACCCACAGCAACGAATCACAGAGCTGGAGAATAAGGTAGCACAGCTGGAGCATGATCTCAACAAGGTAAAGGGGCCAATCAAAAAGCCTTACAATTTTTTGCATCCATTTCAAAATGCATGTCTGGCATTTCTGGTTCAGTTTCCAATTAATGTAGCAAGTCATTGGAACACAATGTGAAACTGACTGAAATTGTTTTGTCATATCTCTTCCAAAACTTACTCCGATACATATAATGTAGACAACTGAGATGCCTATATAATCTCAAAGTCAAGAAACTAATTTATCAAATCACATTTGAGACCTTAACAAATTTATGTGTAGATGCACCATTATGAACATGCTTAGCAAGTTTTGAACAATGTATATGTGTCAGTTTTTTAAAGAAAAACAATTGAGAAAGATGTTGAATATAATAAATGTTGATTAATGAAATGCCGGAGTGTTATTACATGTACCAGCTTCAGGAGGTAGAAATCTTCTCTGGTTGTTTCAGGAAAAACAAGAGAATGCAGAATTAGAAGCAGAGGTACAAGAATTAAAACATGAAAATGTTCGACTACAGGAGGAGTCACAGACTGCTGCTGCTCAGCTACGCAAGTTTACTGAGTGGTTCTTCAACACCATTGATCGACAGAATCCCTGAAAAGATTGTAGGGGAAATTCCTCACTGACTTCAGTCAAATGTTTACAGGGCATGAAGCAGCACTTCAAACTAATGCCAAGGAGTATAAAGACTGGGTTTAAAAACCAAATGAAACTGAAATTTGTAGATTTATGAGTGGATGTTGATTAACTCAACACTAAGAAAAGGGAAACTGACTCTGCTTGTTACAAGTGAGACAAATAATTGAAGTAATTGAACTTGAGCTTGCCAGTAACTGCATAGATCATAGTTGATATGGACCTGAAAAAGTCTAGCAATAAACTGAGGGATTGCCTCATAAATCTTTTATGTAAATCAATTTGCAGGATTCAAATGTTCTGTGGCATTGATGCCCCAAGTGCTGGAATGACTTTGTCCTCCATATTGATTGTGAGAGATGGAAAGAATTCCTGTTTAGAGAGATACATGTATAAAGTGAGAGTTACTGACAAAGTTTCCAATATCTCTGGAGAGTAACTTAAATGGCAGCTGCATTACAAGCAAATGTAATTTTGATTTAAGGGAGATAACTCTGCAGAGAAATACAAGATAACTCTGTAGAGAGGTACAATAATCCAGATAAATGTTTATTTTGGCAACAAGTTATATTTTTGGAAAGATCAAAAAAAAATTATTACATGGATACAGTGAAATAAACAGTTTGATTTTATGGGCGTCATCAGATTCAATGACAGGAAACAACTAAGTTTGACAGAAAGGACCATGGAAAGGTCATTTAATTTTTAGTTGAATCTCGTTATGAATTGATGTGAAATATTTCAATATTAATGACTTTATTGTTTAATGAATTGTCGTATTCAGCACACTTATCATTATTTACATTATTTTCACAGTGAACAAAACAATGTAATTGATTTCAAAAGGAGACCAATCCAACATGCCATCTAAATGATGATGTTTTCTTAGAACATACTTGAAGTTAAAATACCAGTAATAGTCTGGATGATTTAAAGTAGTGAGTTAATAATTTTTTTTTTTTTTTGTGAATTTTATTTGAAAATGTCGATGGTCACGTCAAATGTTTATAAATGTTGAAGATTTTTTTGCACTTGTATACTTAAACCCCCCAAAACCATTAGACTTTGTATACCAAAAGCATACATTTGTATATGCAAAATTTATCTCTGTAATGATTGAACTGTGACTTCACTGTAGCTGAATGGTGGTAACTGGTAGTGTTCAAAATGTTGGGATTAAGAAAGAAAACATTTACTTAATGTCAAAACTTATTCCTGTGCCACATTTGTTTTAACTTTGTAATCCAATTTTAGTGAAACACAAAACCTTTATGCATGTGTTTGTTACACTTTGATAAAACATGTTTGTGTGTAGAAATTTGGGGGAAATATGAAGATTTTATTTTATGTATGATCCAAAGAGATGAAAATGTTGCATAAGTGCAGTGTATTTATAGTTTTAACCAATAAAAACTATGGTGTGCTAAAATGTGTCTGAATTACTGTAAATCATTAATTTAAATGGAAAGTTTATTGTCATTGAACTTGCAGGTACTCCTTTATTCGTGAATTCATAATTTCACAAATTGATAAATTTGACCGAATCTTCTTGTACACATATCATTGGATTTATTCACTAAACATCTAGTTCTTGGAAAACTATAAAACAGGAGTCACACAAAAATAAAGGATTTCACAACACAGTCATTAGCAACACACCCATTATTACAAGCTGCACTGTACCTGTATGCACAGATATCACATCCTGGAATAAAGCTAAGATTCAGTCATACATTGTTATAATGTGGTTTGATTAATCTACTTAAATGATTTTAACACCTTGCCATCATTTGTGTGTAATTATGCAATTTTTTAGCGTTTTTTTATCAGTGCAATGAAACTATTGTAGTCCCATCCTACTGAAAGTAACCCTGTACATCCTGCTGCCGAAATTCATGTTTAATTACCTCTTACAACAATACTTATCCATTTCTATTATTTGATAACCATGACCTTTTTCACAATGACAAACCATTGCTGTGTTGTTTTACTGGTCTGTGATGTTTTTATTTTTTTTATCTAAGTTTCAAATTCTGTACTAGATGTCTGGAAACAAATATTGTATGGAGAGTGGTTGATGAATTAATGATAAGTCACTTAAGGACAGTCTTTATGTAGAGATTGTGTTCTAGAATTAAATGGAAAGACTAGAGTGAATAAACCTGATTATAAATCTAGAGAAATAGCAGGGTACCACCATATCATTGTTTCCATGGATATCCTAAGGACAGTTTGACAAGTTTCTTATCTGCAATACTGATGGAACTCCTGGTAAATGTTACTGAACACTAAACAGGAGGAAGGGTCCAATTATCAAGCTGATTTTTCTTTCTACTTCACAAGAAAATGTTTTTGTTAAACATTGTTCCAGTACGTGGTTGATTTCTACATTTCTATTGTACTATGTAAAACATTAATACTATAGCATCGATTACCAGCAGGACATTTCAGACTTCTCATATCCTTTTGTCATATTTGTGTGAAGATTTCTGTCATATGTAAATAGTCTTATCTTATTATAATTCCTATATCTTATGTTTTGTATAAAACTTACTTTTATAATACTCAATATCATGGATTTGTGATGGTGTCAGTTGTGGAAGAGTAGTTGTTTTTCCCTGAATGCGATATGAATGAACGAGTCCAATTATCTTGGTGGTTCCATTTCTCTTTATTATACTATTAAATATCATGGTGAAATTTCTACACATTTCTCACCCATTTATACTATAATGTATATTTGTGAGAATTATATAAATCAATAATAATAGGGGTCCTATTTGCTACAATATGGTATTGTACACATTTTATGAGAACGTTTTTGTACATCCCAGTGATGCTGAAAAATTATATTTTTGGATTTGATAATCAGAATTTAATGAGCAGAAATAACTTGAAGTGAAACTTCATTTTATCTGGAATATCTTTTTTGAGGCTATTCAATTTGGTGGATTAAGAACGTTCTACTTTACATTATATCTTGATTCCAAGTATAAGTCTCGGAGATAGCATTATCTGAAGGCCAAGCCAGCATGCAGCATTTAATCTTGTCCACATATATATACATATCTCTTTTATTTCTGACCTCATTCATATTGTGTACATAAACATACCTAGGGCTAAACATAGATATAGTTAGATATCTCCAAACTTGCATTTGAACATAGCATTAATTTATTGTAAAGACAATACAAACATTCTCATTTTATTTATTGTATAGAAGAGTTTATTTCACTATCAATTTTCATTTTCTTGTATATAGTGTACTTATTGACAGAACATATAGTCCTATATATGATATAGACACATATGAAAGTAAGTGATGAATAAAAATATCAAGAAACAATCATTTGCGTTAGTTGTTATTTTACAGATAAGAAACATGGTTTGATTTGTTGGATGTTACAATGATTAAGCCACAAAGCATCAAGAGTAGTGCAGGGCAGAACAATATACACCTGTCGCATGCCACAGAAAAATATTCATGATTCAAAACACTGAGGAAGGAGAAAAATGTTAAATATTAAAAGTCAATAACTGTTCTCAAAATGGTAAGATCACCGTTAAGGATAAAATAATGTTCTCTAATGAGTACAGGTAATAGAGCCAAGGCTGTGTGTTCTAGTTGGGTGGTTTGTAGGTTCCTCCACTCCCCAGCTGGATACCCACATGTATGCAGGGTGATTGAGCAAAAGGGAAAATCAGACTCAGTACCAATAAGAACAGGCTGTGGAGTGGTTGTTTCTTAGATTTATTAAGTACCGTCTACTGGTTTTGCCCTCTCAGGCTTCTTCAGGACAACAATATACATTTTTACCCCCCTAAAGTACCTAAATTGCGGCTCCCTCCGAGTTAAAAATAGTACATGTACTATTATGACGTATTACTTTTCAAAGTCTGTTCACTCTAGTGTATACTGCTAACTTCATGGGACAAGAATTACTGTATGTCCTACTATATATACGTGTATACTATATGTACACATTAAAAATTAATTATGCATATGATAGGTTACTATTTTAAAGTATTAAATCAGTATCTCCATCATGGTTAGTAGAATATTAAGTGCGTTTTTTTTTTGTAATTTCATCAATGTTCATCTAGACACAACGTAGATGTTGATGCTTAGACATAGTTGTACTTTTTTTAATCCCTTTTCTCTCCCATATTTTCATTTTCCAAGGTATTGGCCATGGACCCTGATGCCTCTGAGGTGTCATCGCTAAGGGCGAGGTCCTCCCTCAGTTGCTTGATGGCCTGATCCAATACTGGTCTAGACTTCTTGGGTGGTCCTTCGCTAATAATCTGCCATCCCGGGACAACCTCGAACTTCATGTCCAGTTGTGATTTGATAAGGCTCTCGAACGGTCTTTTATTTGATGGTACTTTTGCCTCCTCTCTAGTTTTGTGCTGGACTATCTCCGGTTCAATCTTGTACATGTATATATAACTCTCCTCCAGACGTAGCCTGCAGTTGACGTCATGTATACTTGTTGCCACGCCAATGCTGATACTGGTATTATGACCCGACGTACAGAAGTGTCTCGTTACAGGTTTGTCCAGATCCGAGTGTATAATGGAGTAAAGGTGATTTCTGATGTGTGTATTGAGGAAGGATACATATGTTCATACAAATTCAAAATGCTAAAAAGATCAAAGTGCAATAACTCCTTCAAAATTTGTTTAAATACACCTGCTGTTCAGAAGAATAAAAAAAACGAACTTCATGTTACGGTTATTAAGCTACCAAGTTTGAAAGATATTGGTGTAAAACTGAGAGAGAACTGCAGACAAATCAAACAGTAACAAATACAAATTTCTTCTTTATACAGTTGAATCAAACTGCTTTTCAGGAATACACAATTTTATGTAACTGTGATTTACAATGTAGCTTACCAAGTTTGAAATGAATTAGTTGAAAATTGTTTAAGATCACAATGCAAATCAATGGCTCAATTTAGGAAATACTTCTTTGAAAATTTTGAACTTATTTTGCCTTAGTGAAATGGAAGGTACAAGTGACTAAGTGTTATTTCAGTATACTTGAATTTCACATCCTGGAAGACATACAGGTACACTTAAGTTATAATCACATCACAAGGTAATAGATACTGGTACATCACAAGTTAATAGATACATCACAAGGTAATAGATGAAAACTATTACAGAGAAAGATATCTCTGCAAATTTTGCACTTATTAGACATCAAAGCCATGATGATCATGAAGTATACTTTTTCAAGATGTTGAGCCAACAATTTAAATAATTGCCTTTAAAAAAATTGTATAACAACAGAACAAATACATTTAGCTGCACAAAACAATTACTTTACTTTCAGTTTAGATCTCCATTCATTGAAGAAAAATTATTAGTTAAATATATTTTACTAACTTCTATACATTCATAAGCATAACATAAACCCTTAGGTATCCACATTACAATATATTATTTAATAACAAGAGTTCCTTCTGATATTCAGTAGTTAAGCTTGAAATATGATAATCCTGATGTTTCACCAGGGGATTCCTGCAATGAAGCCTGACAAAACATTGCAATAAGAAATTACCTTGAAACATATTCAAGTTTACCATTTGAAATAACTCCTTATATTATTGTCTTAGGATATTTAAAATTTTCTTTCCTGGGAGAAATCTATCTATGAAGAATAACACTTCTTTGACACAAAGAAAAAGAATTAAACAATTTGTATGCATTATGCTTTCTCTTTCAAGATAATCAGTCACTGCTATACTGGAAGTGATTTGAAGCCAATATTAATTTGTTTCCTTGATAATTTCGTTCATATTTCTGCCTGTTGCCTAATCTTTTCCATTTTAACAGGAAGGAGAGGCACCATTTCCTTACATACTGATAACTCCAGTGCAACTGCTTCGGCAGCTTGTGGAAATTTATTACAGTATTCAATGATGAACTCATAGCAAGTTGATGTTTTCTTTATGTTTTGAAGTCTTTGCTGAACATCAGATAGAAGAAACTTGGAAAGCAGACGACCCATACAAAACATGGCTATCAGTGCTGGTCTTGTATCTGTTTCTGGAAATTCTTCAGGTAATTCAGGCTTTCCATTCTTCAGTGAATCAAGATATGCCTTATATTGATCAATGCTTTGCTGAATCAATGTATTTATCTTCTTGATAATATGCCTTGATGGTATTGAACTCTCTGATTCCATGATTGTGAATTTTAGATCAACCATTTGGCTGTAGGTTTCTGCTAATTCAAAAGTGAGCTGACGGATTATCAGTAGATAATGCTGAGGATTTAACTCACTGACAACTGCAGCCAGCATGTCTATTCTTCTCTTGTGCATTTTGCACTGACGTTCCAGATCCATTTCATAAAATGCTAATACTTTGAAAGCACGACTATGATCCTGGATTATCTCAAGGTGATCTGTACAACGTCCATCGAATACATAGAACTCTTTTGCATCATTCAACCATTTCTGAACTTTAAGGAAAACTTCTCTTGCATCTGAAAACACTTTAACAAATTCACAAGTAATCTTATCTTCATGGAATGTCACTTCAAGGTTAAAATTTTGGTATTTCATCTTTTCATCATTTGTTGGTTTATTTTCTGCAGCTTCTTCGTTCCCAACTTCTTTCATTAATATATCTTTGGAGGCTTCCAACAGAGCGATTCCATACTTTGCCCAGCATCTTTCTATATCTGCTTTTGCCTGACCATATTTCTCTTCATATGTCTCCATGTCCTTCTTTATTGAACCATTATTCTCAACTTCTTGAAAGATCAGTTCGGAACATGCAAGACAATGACGTGCCTGTCGAAAGTCATCAACAGTTACATAATACTGTGATAGTGTAGCAGCATTAATGGCCCAATCATAAGGGTCATATGTCTGACTATCCAACTGGCGCTGAAGAGTCGTTTGACAGTATTGTGCCGACCGTTTGCTGTCTCCTAGCTTAGCATGTACCTGAGCCATGTAGTACAGTGTGTGCGTATATGTAGCCTCAAAATTAAGATTTCTCTGAAATTCAAGTTTTTCGCTGTCCTCTTCACATTTTTTGTAATATTCTTCAATTGATTTTGGAGATCCACTAGCTTCTCTTTTCCAGTCATTGTAAACACTTTCTGCTTTCAGAAAATATTCCAGGGCTTTCTTTTGATTTCTCCGTCCTGTCCACAGAATTCCGATGTTGTTCAAAACCGAATGATAAATATTTGAAGCTTCTCTATTGAGTCGAAACTTCTCGAGTTCGTCAAGGGCCCTGAGCAAATGCTCTTCTCCTGTTGGGAGTTCTTCAGTATCGACATAGTTGGCTCCCAGTTTCACATCCAAAGCAGCTGAAGCATACCTCAAGTGCTCGCAGTCCGGGTTGGCCTCAAACAGGCTTTTGAGCTTTTCTTTGATACTACAAAGAATCTCACGAGCTTTATATTTTGACAAGTAAGGGTTGTCTTCTGGGTCGTCTAGTGAATATTCATCACTCAGCTTCCTTGCTTCTTCAAACTGAGAAAACCCTTCTTCGTTCAGATAGAACTGCCACTCGGTCGCCATGATGCCGCCGTCTGAGGATCGCAGAAAAATATCTACTTAGATATTTGAAATTATCAATTAAAACACTGTTTCGTGGTCAATTATACGTTTTCCTTAAGTACTTTCATTTCACCACTAAATATGATTTATTTAAATAAAAATACTATTATTATGTGTTTGCTATAAAGGTTTATATCCAATCAGATAGCGCCAAATCATTCGTTGCTCAAGCATAAACAACACTGCATTCCGACCTGAGGCAGCCTAGAAACTGGATAAACTGAACGTCAAATAACTGTGATTAAGAAACACTGATATAAAATGTCAAGAGGGTAGGTTGCGCGAAATTGATTAGATTACATTTGTTCTTACATTTAAAATTGCAATTAAGTTAAAGGAGGCACTTCATTTCTTACACGTTTCAACACCGGGACATTTCGGCAACAGAATAAATAAGTTTTAGCTGAATAGCAGGTCATTTCGGCACAAAGATGTTTCTCCTATAAACTTTTTGGTTATACCATATATAACATTTTTGTTATATATTCAAAGTCTTAGCGTAGTTGCCCAAAATCAGTATTAGAATTCGTAAGAAAAATGTTTCATTATACTTGTGCTGTGCCAACACGTTGTAGCCCCCTCCCCACCGATTTTTTCAATGAAAAATGAATGAACAGACACTAAGTCTACTTTGTGTAATATCATTTCCATATTTCAGATATGATACAGGTAATCTGCTGTGGGACCTTGCCATAACACAAGCTAATGATAAAACGAGTAAGTGTTTGTGACAAAATATTAAAACATTTGGTCTCGATTTTCATTTTAACATCATGTATAGAGTAAGGGAACATAATTTAACACAGTACATAAATTCGCACACTTGGTGCTTTTCGTCTTTTTCGTCTTTTTTCTTCAACTAGCAGAGGATTGTGTTGTTTTTTTTTTCGTTTATTTGCAGAGTTATGTCAGATTGCAGTTGTGCTTTTGCTCTTCTAAATATAGCACTTCCAATTAACCTCGTTTTGATAACATCTATGGCTCTCGTCACAGAAAATTGACATTAGATGATTAAATATCTAATAAAAATATAATCCCAGAGACCAAATAGATTATGCATTTCCAACCTATCATCTGCTTGTTTACATTTACTTTCACAGGTAGCAGTCATTATTTTAAAAAAACATGTTAATAAGCCTTTTTAATCTTTATTTCAACATTATAGATGGCATGTAATCACCTCATATAAGATTAATATAAATTTTTAATGAATTTTATATTTCCATTAATGAAATGAAAGAATAATGGCAGTGAAATGACTTTTTTCTCTTCAGTGGAATACATTGACTTTTTGATATTTTCAATGCCTTTGTTTTTGTTCGAAGTTTAGAATTTTTTTTGTATACAAGATGTTTGAAAACTGTGTTTAGCAGCAAAACTAAGGAGGCTATATGAATGTGCAAAATTGCATTCCCATTTATTTCCAAACCAGGAATAACAATGCCCATGCACAGGAATATGCATGTACATACCAGATTACATACTTGCATATTACGTAGCATTTGTACATCTAATCATGTCAGACAATCTTTATCGTTTCAAAATAAATATGATAGAAATACATATGAATACCTACAGAAAATGTGCGAAATCATGTACCCTCACTATATATGGGCTCCAATCTAGGCGATATTTATATACCAGTTATTTTAAAATGTTATCATTATTTGCAGACGAAAACACTGTCAGTGATGACTCTGCTGTTTTTGTGATTGGAGGGAAAGGAGCGGTGAGTTTGGACACACTAATAGACATTTACTGTTAACACTGAACTTTGATGTATGTGTGAAGAGGCGTATGTGTGATGCATTTTCAGTACTATCAGCAAATTTATGATAATGACATTCAAGGTTGATAAAGACTTATAAATGTGTTTCTTACAATGTTGGTAGAGGATATAAAAACAGACCTGCTCTTCAAATTGTAGGCTGAATTTTGAATTGTAGTTATAGATAACAAAGTTGCTGAAAAGAAATACAAGGTAAAGTTAACTTGTTAGCTGTAACAGTTATGCATCTAGAATTGTTCTACTAAATACTGATTGCTAATTCAGAATATATCTACATTTAATTTTTCAGGAACTTAAATAAATACCAGACAGTTTTAAGTAAATTACAGGGCTTGACAATATTATATAAATGAAGTACATAACATGCTGCTTTATATCCACCAAAGTATCTTACCAAGACAATACAAGTCTAAATATTGATTGACAATTTGTTCAAGCTTTCATGTTATAATAATTTTTCATACAATTTCAGGGGAAAACATCTATCATTCTACGATTCCTAGACAGGTAATTGTCTCTTTCATGTTTTTATGTTTGTGTAAATGGTTTATTTGCAGAGTCATGCCTTGTTAACAAAATCATAACAAACAACGAAAATGAAAATTTTGCAAAACCTATCAAAGATTCTGTATGATAAAGATTATGTTTATTTGGAAAGAAATGACATCACAGGATATATTTGTATGGGTTAGAGAACAGATCTTGAATCTCTTATCAGAGCTCTGTCTTGTAACTTTAATTGGACACTCTCTTCTGTCGATGGTTATAACTGTATGTTTTCTCTTTGTTTGACAGAGATGAGGCGTCCAAACCTACCGTGGCCTTAGAATATACATTTGGTCGTAAAGCCAAGGGACATAATATAGTAAGTACATAGTATGATACAGAAATACCTAGTAATGGATGTAGAGTGGTCATGAAGAAACAGGTCAGTCTATTTCTACATATCTTACACACTTTTATTTAACTCTTTGACTGATAATAAGTGTTAGATTTAAACTCAACTCACAACTTTCTTAATAATTTCACTGAAAGATTCAATTGGCGACTGTTGATCTTGGTTATACAGTAGTATTTTAGGCTAAGTAGCACGGTGATGTTGTTGAAAGATTGATGCAACTACATAAAAATCTTCTGTAGATGGGAGGCAGATAGTACTAGGACAAACTAGCGATTGAGTACACCACAGGCAATAGCTGTTGGAGTCTTTTTCTCTGTGTCCCTGCATGTGCAATGTTCTATGATGTAGTTTCTGAATGACCTCCCAGACTCTCCATTCTAGGAAACGGAATAGGTGGCACATGGAATCTTGTATATCAATCCAGACTCGTCCTAGATTTGTCCTCCATTGAAATCAAGAGTTCACGGAGGTGGATACCAGGTTTGAAGTCTGGTATTATTTGCACAGGACTCTATGGATAATCTCAGATTTACCCCTAATATTAGGATTGAACTAGGACTCATATTTTTGTTTATTACTGGGTATCTTTCAGTAGAATTACCACTTATTGTAATACTGCCATGGTATACCAAGTAATTGTTGACGAATTTAGTCGTATCCATCATTTAACATGATAACAGGACTTCTCTCATTCTTGGGTTGATGAGTTGTCAGTGCTCAGTTTTTGAAGTTTTGTATAGATGTAAACTCTCAAAACATTATACTTCAGGATGGATGACACTGGTATGATCATGCATTAAACTTGATGTTGTGTATTATGTATTGATAGGCTAAAGATGTTGGTCACATATGGGAGTTGGGTGGTGGAACATGGCTGACCAAACTCATGGATGTTCCTCTTAATCCTGACACCATCACGTAAGTAAAAATCATTCAACCCTGATGCCGTCTCAATAGTACAGATTATTCAACCCTGATACCATCTCAAAAGTACAGATCATTCAACCCTAACACAATCACGGAAGTACAGATGATTCAACCCAGACACAATCACATAAATACAGATTATTCAACCCTGACACCATCACATAAGTACAGATTATTCAACCCTGACACAATCACATAAATACAGATTATTCAACCCTGACACAATCACATAAATACAGATTATTCAACCCAGACACCATCACATAAATACAGATTATTCAACCCTGACACAATCACATAAATACAGATTATTCAACCCTGACACCATAACATAAGTACAGATCATTCAACCCTGACACCATCATGTTGGTACAAACAGTGAAACCATTATGAAATTATATATCATTTGACTCTGACACCATTACATAAGTACAGATCATTCAACCCAGACACAATCACATAAGTACAGATAATAAAAAACTCCTAATGGAGTAGGAGAGAACCAACATCCTGGTTGTCATCAGTCAGATCATGTAGGAATCAAAGATGGATACCCAACCTCAACATCTGGATTTCGTGGTTTGATTATTTGTTTACATGTTTCGGCTACCTAGACTATCCATCATCAGAACAACAGTATAAATATTTACATAAGTATGATTGAAATTTTGGGTCAGCCTTGACGTCTTTATCACATGATAAAGACAATATAATGGTGTCATTATGTAAGTACAGAGAATGTTATTCAATTTTTAAGTTAAAGTAAGTACATATCCATCTTTCAACCCATATACGGTAAACTTTTAGTCATTTTGAACAAAATTGATTACGTACCGTTGGACCTGTTCAAATTATATAAAATTATGTTTGTGAAAATAAATTAGAATTCAAACTATCAGGGTTGGTGTTGCCCAAAATCACGACAAAGTGTCTAAAAGTGTCCTAGCATGGCAGGAATACCTGTCAGTAATGACTTTTTCTGTGGTGGAAATGTGGTGTCGATTATGAAATGATTATCTTTTTAAACACTTACTGAACTCCAATACGTGTTGATCAACTGTTAAGAAATCACAGGTTTTCTTTTATCCTGTATCTCATTGGATACTGTGATGGAAGCAAGTCTGAAAAGCACATTTCTGCATATATATATTGGCAGATGTTGACATTGATATATCAGTATGAAAATGAGAAGTAAAACAATTTTGTTCTTTGACAAAACACATGCCAACTTCCTAGATCTACCAATTGCTTTATTAGCTTGTAATACAGAGTTGGGGTCTCAAGTTGTGTCAGCTGGCATGAGCATGATGCTACGACAAGATGTGTAAGGAATCGCACTAAATCAATGCCAATTAAGTAACCTGTATGTAAATCATTTGATGTTATCAGTTGCTTATGATGGCCATTTACAGCCTGCTATCCACAGCATAACATCGATGTGAATAGTGACCACATGGAGCAATCATTGCAATGTTTTTGGCTTTCTGTAGTTAAACATGCTACGGTGCATTATTGTGATTTGTTTGAATAAGTGAAAAAAAACCTAGAAAGGGTTCAAACTATCTATATACAATCATTGATTCTCCAGGGGTTATGATCACTTTCACTCTCTGCACCTTTGCAACTTGTCATGACTAAAGGCACCAGCGATGTAATTTGATTAGCTCCAGGAGAAAAAAAAAATGACCAATCATAGGCTGATATGCTGCTTTCGAAGATTACAAAGGAGTGACACCTAACTTCAAAGCCATTACAGCACATCATTATGCTACCTCGAGATTCATTTCATGTGTGTAAAGGTGTTGCACATGGAATTTTCAATTTTGCCATGATATGTTCAAGGGGTGTAGAAAGAGAAAGTGATTGTAACCCCTTGAGAACTGAGGATGTCTATAGACAGAAAATATTGTAAAGATCACATGTTTGAACTACCCGCCTATTTGAACTGACTGGAGGTATACCATACTATCACATCAGTAGAATCGTTCAACTGTGAAACTTTTGTTTAAGAACAAATCATATAACTCTAACACTCATCACTTATATACATGAAGTATCAGAAAATTCAGAATAATATGTTATATATAAGTAATTCATCAAAGTATAATTATAAGGTCTCCATCATTGATTTCATTACATCAGAATAATTAGATTAACACAGTAACCATTTTTAAGAAAGTTTCAAATATTACATCTTGACAGTTTCATTCATATACATGCATCTGGAAATTCTATCATTTCCATCCTAAAGATACACATGTATTGATGTGACAAGTATTTGATTGTAGACACACTGCCCTAGCTATAGTGGTCGACCTGTCCAAGCCTAACGAGATCTGGTTCACACTGGAGTCGTTACTAGCAGCTGCTAAATCTAGGATAGAGACCATCATAGCAGAGATGAAATCAGAAGTCCCCAACATCAAAGAACAGTTGAAGAAGGCAGCTTGGAAACGAGTAGGAGAGGATCATATGGTTAGTGTAAAAACTATTGATAGAGGGTGAAAGATATGGAGGTTTTATATCATCAGTGAGAAATTAGGGGAGGGTCATATAGTTAGTGTAAAAACTATTGATAGAGGGTGAAAGAAATGGAGATTTTATATCATCAGTGAGAAATTAGGGGAGGATCATATGGTCAGTGTAAAAACTATTGATAGAGGGTGAAAGATATGGAGATTTTATATTATCAGTGAGAAATTAGGGAAGGATCATATAGTTAGTGTAAAAACTATTGATAGAGGGTGAAAGATATGGAGGTTTTATATCATCAGTGAGAAATTAGGGGAGGATCATATGGTCAGTGGTTCCATTACTAGGGGATGACAGGGATATGAGGTGTCTATCTTTAGTGAGAAAATAGTCATTTAGTTGGTAATAGAAGGGAATTATAGAGTAAGTGAAAAAGTTTGAAACAAAATATTTGATATGTTTACATTTAACATCTAAATTTGACTTTCTGATATGAGAGGATTTAATTAAGTCAATGAGTATTTAAACACTCAACAAATTACTGGACAAGTGCAAATTATTGCTATTTTTTCAAGGTTCTTTATTTTGCCTGAGATTTCCTAATTTAACAGAATTTTTACTTCTTGAAGTGTCAAACTACCATGTACATTAGTGTTAGATCTCTTGTTTATCACTCACTGTGTAAACAAAATTTTGTAAACAGGCTTCAAGCAAGTAGAGTTCACAAACAAATTTGAATATTTGTAGAAATAAGTAATATATGCATAGGATGTTTTTATCGGTTAAGATTTGGTTTTATTTCATTGCAGGACAGTACAATGATGGACCCGTTTTTAATACCACTCATCATTATAGGTGGTAAATATGATATTTTCCAGGTAAGTTGTCCTCAGTCTGTGATAATATATATTTCTGCATTACATAGAGGTTATCTCAGTGGGTACCAAAGGATTTCTCTATTGGTTCTTACTGTTACTACTTAAGATGAATAAGAATTTACACTCCATCAATCAGTCAGTCTGTCTGTATATCACTGTTTATCTTATTTACCCAGTCATTGAAGATTGTAAAAGTTTGAGAGAACTTCCGGGGAGAATGAAACATTACATGCTGTAATCAAATCTAAAATCTCTATACATGTACTTGATCGTGCATGAATTTCAATTTCTGATAGGATTCATTACACAAGTGATGAGCTTAAATGGAAAAAAAGGTGTAAAGTTTATACATGAAATACAAACATGAAAGTCTTAATCTTTGAATATATATCACTGTCCCAACAAAAGAAACTTTTTAATTTTTTTTCCAGGATTTTGACTCTGAAAAACGAAAAGTGATTTGTAAAACCCTAAGATTTGTAGCTCACATCCACGGAGCATCATTACAGGTAAGTTGTACAGGCATGTTCACTGTGGTATACTGAATCTGGGAAAGTCAACATTATAGATTAATAGATAATTGTTGTTTATCAGAGTAAGATATGCCTACCTCTTTTACTCTGGTAGATATTTCTGAGTTTTGGTAATTGATGAGACCAGCCGGATCTGTGAATTTTTCACATTATGATAAATATTATTCAACATGTTTTGGTATATGTTAACAAATTACAATTCCTTCCTTATTGATAGATTCCATTTAATTTTACCTTGATGCCTCTTCTAACACCTTGCTGAATATTGTATTATAGTTGTAACACACAAAGTAGACAATGACCATGTTACACTTATTGGAGGAACAATTCTCAATAATGTTCACACAAAGTGGGGCTTCATTTAGAAATTTCAGATGAAAATACTTTAGATTAACATTGTTGATTTATTTCTGGAATACCTTATATGATTCTCCCTGTACAAGGATGTTTGTGTAATATATCTTGTATTTTTTTGCCCTTGTTTAATTAATTTTTGAGTTTGGAATTTCCTGTATTTAATGCAGTGGTTCTTTTGACTTACATTTATGATGTTGTTTTCACTGTAAATCACTTTATTTAAATTTTTCACATTCTCATCATCGTTTTGTTCTTAGTTTTTCAGTATCAAGCAAGAACAACAGGTGAACAAGATGAGAGCACTGATAAGTCATCACCTGTTTGAAACATCATTAAGGTAGGCTTTGAATAAGGCAAACTACTTCTAAGAGTGAAATATAGTGAAAGAATTATATAATATAGATTTTCATAAGTTTAATTTGAAGTACATCTATGTGATTAACTGGAAATCTCTACCCTAGGAATAAGGTATTTGAGGGTCAGCACTTAAAAAAGTTGCTGATCTTCAAAAATTTTACCCTTATCCCTGGTATAAGACATCTCCTTTGTAAAACACAATGATTAAAATTAACCATACAAGGATTGGGATGAATGTTAAACTACAATATGTAATGTGAAGATGGTCAGGGTTTAGTTAATTAAGTTTTCATGTTTACAGTAAGACGTTACAGACAGAACACAACAAACCTATACAGGTGGCAGCAGGGCATGATTCTCTACAACAGATAGGTATGTGTCGAGTTGAATAGTAACAGGTTTTTTATCTTCTTAACTCTTCCTATCACTGTGCATTGTCTCATTGACATATGCTTGTGTTCTGGCGACATTTTTTCGTCTGAATGTCAGATGTCTGTAAATTGTTTATATTTAAGTAGATAGTCTTCATTGAGGAGTTTAACCTGTATCTTTTCTCCTTCTAGGTACTCCTCCTTTGTCTGACAAAGATGTTGGTAGAATCAATGCAAAGTAAGTAGCTTCTATTGTACTGTCTGTCCTTGTTACTCAAGAGGTTTTATTTACTTCTCTGTTTGCCTCGAACAAAATTGAAGGCATAAATAAAGTGATATGATTGGTCTAGAGTGACTTTCAGCATAAGAAGCTGACCAATCACAGACTGATACACTCCTTTGAAAATTACAAAGGAGTGACACCCAACTTCAAAGCCGGTACAACATACCGTTATGCAACCTCGAGATTTGCGTGAGGTTCATCAAAGGATGAAACGAGTCTTACCCACAGTGTGTTGTACAGGGAAAATTAAAATTTGCCATGAAAAGTTCAAGGAATGCACAGAGAGATGGTGGGCATAACACCCAGAGTAATGGCAATGTTCACTGTCATGGTTGTGTGTTGTGTATTTTAATGTGTTGTTTTTGTTGTGTGTGTTATTGTGTTGTGTATTGATGTGTTCAGTTATATATTTACAGTATTAGATATAAAGATATGTATTACAACATGTGCTGTAATGTATCAATTTCCAATTCACCATAAAACTTTCCATGATGTAGTACTTTTTCCAAACCCAAATTTGCAGTTTTGGGGATTTTGTCAAATAATTTGTGATGTAGGATATCATACTACCAGGAAATTTCCTTACCTACAGTCCTGTTGTTTTATCACCCTGTCAGCTGCCAAATTCATTTGGAGGCAGTGTCTTTTTTTATCATCTTACTGAACAAAATATGGAAGACTTGTCACATGCAATCCTGAGCAATTAGGTTAAAATGGTTTGCCCAAGAACACAACAACTACAGCACACACTTGGGGACAACAGTGGTCCAGTTGTTTAAGGTGTCTGATGGTCTGTATCACCAGCCCTCCACCTCGTGGTCCTGGGTTAGGGATCTATTTGGGACATTTGTCAGGTACTGGCTGCAGGTCTGTGGTTTTCCCCTGGGAAGTCCAGCTTTCCTCTGCTGCCCTTAACATGGCATGTCCTTAAATGATCCTGGCTGTTAATGGGACGTAAAGCAATAATAAGTTAAACCAGAGCACACACTGATCCCCAACTCTATACACTGCTGCAGTTTATAAATACACCAAGGGTATGTACTCAACATGTAATTATATTTGCTTGCTTCCTACGAAGGAATATTCTTCTAGATCAGATTCATAACAAGTTGTTTCTTTATTCTTTGCAGTCGTTCACGGTAATGTGAACTGAAAATAGGGGAAGAAAAGTAGAATATTTTTATGCAAGTATTTCATTATTCTAGTTGGCAAATTATTGTGAAGACAATAAAAAGGGTTCTTCTTTCCAGCTGTCTTTTTTAATACAACCATTTCACTGTAAAGTGACTTGTCTTTTTATATACACTGTTTGTTACTTTATTATGCTGTATCATTATGGAATTTTCAAAAAAGTTTGCTGTTTTTCCTGATGAAATGTAAGAATCGCATCAACTTCATACAAAGAATCACATTCAAAAATGCATGTAATATCCTTTGTAACTGTACTTTGACTCATTGTCCTTCACACTGTTCTGTCCTCCTGATATGGTGAGGCGTTAGGAATGTTACACAGTTATTACAGTGTATGTAAATCAAGTTAGTCTACAGATTGGAAATCAAAATTTAGAAATTATACAGAGAAATAGATAGATTTGTATGGATTTAAAAGTACTATTATAGTACATTATATATCCTTTATAAACTAAATCACTTTTCTGTATCAGTCTTGTACTCCTTGTGAACTTCTAGATTACTTATCCCTCGGGCGATCAGAAGAGCATGTTGTAATTGCCCTAGTGCATCAGTCTGTCCCACTTCGATTTCCATACATCTAAAGTTCTGTATACTCGATTCAACTCGGACGTCATGCATGCCTTCCTGACAGAAAGTGCTTCTTCCAGGGTGCATTTCATTGCTCGAGTTCAAAGGTCAAATTAATTGTTATCTATCTTTGAAGTCTCTTCCACTCTGACTTCATTCATTTCTTCCTTATAAATGTATTTCTCAAGATGGTATTATTAGATATTGGTATGAGATAGTAATAAATCAACATTCTTCTTTCGAAATTAATTATTTCACATGCTGCACTTTACTGTGACCGAAGGGTCTGATGACCTATTGCTATCGCCTTTTGTCTGGTGTCCGTCATAAACATTTTCAACTTCTTCTCATGTTCTACATGTCTCATTGAACTGAAACTTACCCGAAAGTTTGTTAATTTCGGGTTGGTTCAAAATCCAACATGGCCGCCATCTTGAAAACACATTTTCGACTTCTTCTCAAGTTCAAAATTTTAACTTTTACTGACAGTTGATTTCATGGTTAGCAGAACTCCCTTGTAATCATGAATTTACCCTTGAAATCAACAAAAATAAATTCCCCACCAATACTTATGATTTTACAGTAATTTTACAAAACACAAATCATGAAGATTACTGGAAGCATTGCTTTTCATTACTTTATTTTAAAACATGGCTTCTTGGATTTTCAAATATATTTATTTTTCATGAAAAAGATACCATTAGTTAGAAGCACTCAAATTTTATCAACCTTGCTTTAAGATCAGGCTTATTATGCCAGCTTACTAATCTAGAAATGTACCACAATAGCTCACTGTAGAGCATTGGCCTACATAACCACAGGTGAAGTGCCAAGGTGTGTGGTTTGACACTTCCCACCTGTAGCAGGGTTTGATTTCACAGGAAGCTGAGAAACAGACAAGTCTATACTGTCATGGTTTTGTCCCTGTGCAAACCACTTCATCCTAATTGCTCTGGATGGCAAGCATTGCGCTTTCCATTGCTGTTCAGTAAGACAGCCACCTCCTACAAGGAGACCTCACCTCAAAATGACCCTGGCTGTTCACAGGGTGATAGAGACAGCAAAACAAACAAACATGGGATATATCAGGGAACAACAGGCTATATTGTTGAGGTTATAGGGAAGAACTACAAATGAACATGGGAGCAAATTTCACACATTCAGAAATAGATGTTTTATCTAATTTGTGCATATTTGCCATACACTGAAAACAATGTTTAGAATCTGAATTGATTTGATGGATAAAGAAATTTTAGTATACTCTTCTTCAGTGTACTTATCTCCAGATAACAAGATAAACCAAGTACCTGCTACATCTTAACCATATTTTTCCTTCTTTGTTACCATTTCTGTAGATGTTTGCTTTAGGTATTAAGGAAAACACTGATAACTCATTGTTGACCAAATATTTCAATGTACTGATAGCACTAAACAACGAAATTTCAATCTTACGTCTTGAACAATTTTTCTTCTGAACCGCAATATGAAATTTCACTTTTGACTAGAAAAATATGTAAGGTGCTGGAAATTCAAATACTAGTGGAAGGACTGTCCTTTAAGGGTTTTTGTGATGGTGAGCTGTTCAAATTGCCCTAATTCCATGGTCCATTGTCCATCATAAACAATTTTTGTTATCTCTGTTTCTTGCGACACTGGATAGATCTTTCTTAAATTTCATATGTAGGTTCCCCTTGGTCCCTTGTTGTGCCTGATTGACTTTGGGACTGATCAGAAAAACAAAATGGCTGACAGGCAGCAATTCTCGATTTTTTCATTGAAGTTTGTTATCACTATTTATTGAACAGTACTTGATGTATCAGATTTCATATGTAGGTTCTCTTTGGTCTTTAGTTGTACCCATTCAGTTTTGGGACTGATCAGAAAAACAAAGTGGCCGACAGGTGGCCATCTTGGATTTTGCTTAGTAAAGATTGTTATCCATATTTCTTAAGAAGTGCTGAATGGATGTCTCTCAAATTTCATATCTCTCCTTTTGCCCGTTTGATTTTGAATTGATCATATGAAACAAAATGGCTTCCAGACGGCCATTTTGGATTTGGCAGGTAAAGATTGTAATCACAATTTCTGCAAAGGAATGTTCAAATGTCATAAGTGTTAAGAGCAAAAACAGAAAAGAGAAGAGAAAAGAAGGGAAAGATCCAACTTTCAAAGAACAAATAAAGATCAAACAATGGTGGGCGCCAAGATCCTTCTGGGATCTCTTGTTTAACTGTATTGTATTGACTATATTTCTATTGCTTTCTATTTCTATTGTCATTGGATAAAAGACATGTTTAGTTGAAAGCATCCTTAAATGGTGAGAAGAACAAATCATATTAAAAAAGGGTTTATTTTAATTTGAACTCCCACCCTCCACCACCATTCTATCCTATTCGAACGAAGCTGAGGCCAGGACTCACTTGAAGTGAGTAATTTGGTCATGACCTCAATTCATCAAATTAATGCTTAATGTATTGATAATTAAGGGATGGATATAATGATTTTATTCATCTTTATTTATCTTAAAATGACAATATGTAGAAGTTCACACATTTTACCTGCTTGTTGGCCGAGATTTCTACTGTAGTAATAATAAGCATATAATGGTAAGTGTACCTATACCAGCAGTTAGACTTCAGTGCCTTGTTAACTGCAGGTGACTTGTATGTGGTTCACAAAATAAAGAATTCCTAAAGTAGAAACCCTATATACAATGTAATGTTGTTGAGCATGAAGTAAGATTTTATGTTACTTGTACCAGGTGTTAGGTGTGGAATCCATCCTCACCCTCAGGGACATTGTTCTATAGCAATAGCTCATCAAAACAAAATGACTTTTAACTCTGAACTATCTACAAATTTGGCTTACTTTTTATCTTGACAAAAATAAATCTAATAATGGCATGTAATATAGCCATATCTGTCACAACTGTATGCCTACATGTGCTTGAAACTTCAGAAAAAAAATCACCTACACATGAACAAGTATATCAAGTGTAAATCTTGAGAGTCCAGATCCTGAATATATGCGAATTTGGATAAATTCAATATTAGTGTCTTCTTTCACTTTGATGTTTAAATTACTCGGAGACAATTAACTATATACACTGCAAAGAAACCATATAAAGACAAGATGCATTGGTTTCAATTTGTAGCAAACTTTTCTTTTTATTAATTTCATGGCCAACATTTACTGCTGGAGCTAATGGCAGAGAAATTGTTATTTCAATAAGGTCATCAGGTGCAGATATCATCTGTCTGAGTATTCAAAATGTACCCAATGAGGAAAATTCCACAACAGTTAATTCCACAAAAACCAGTAATGTTTCTGTTGTTATTTATGAATGATCTCATAGTCAAGAAAATCTATGGGAAAATGTGTCAAATATTTTCAATGGATATTGGCAAATTATTTGCATTCAAGTACAAAATTACTCAGTAATATATAAAGAATTGAACATAAATCCTGTGTAGACATATACCCCAAAGCATTAGAAATAATATAGCATTGAAATTTAATTATGGTCACCAAAAGTGTGCAAAAAAAAATTGGAAAGGTCATGAGTTTTTCCTGAGCTGGTTTGTTTAATTTTACGGTAATGTTTAAATTGAAAAGTACTTCCGAGCTGCACTGAACCTGTCATATGTTACACTACTCATTACTGTGTGACAGTTGGTGCACCAAAATCAATTGAGCCCAGGTCATCAACCTGTACATGTACTTAAAGTTTAAACATTCAGAAACTTGCCAGTTTAATTTACAATATAAGGCACAACATTCTATCCTTCAACGGATCAATACTAAGTAATTTAATGCAACTTAAGGGTGACAGAGTAATTTTGAGGTAATTTCTGTAATTACAGCTCACATTAAATATTGATCTTATGATATGAAGTTAAAATTGTGATTTATGGAAAAGTTTCAAAGATATTTGTTTTCTTAAATTTTTTTAACGTGACTGGGAATCAAAAAGGCAAAAGGAAGGTGGTACATTTTTTCAACAAGAATGCCTCTGCCTGTGTTTTTATGTTCAAATTGAAACAGGATTGTAAATACAGATATTGATTTTTACAATGAGTTTCAGCTGATTTTGCATACATGAATTTTTTAATGTGCATTTTTTATTTTATTTCTTCAAAATTTTGTTTCCATCATAGACCCATTCAGAACTTCTTTATACAATGTAAAAGTCCCTTTCTTTAGCAACTTCGTCTGTTGTTTATCTTTGGTCTCCCTGCATATTTGAAATGTAGCCTAGAGCTTTGTACATGGTAAATCTTAATTGTCTTTCTGATCATTAAATTCAGTATTTTGTTGAAAGCAATAGATTGTTACCTGAATCTTGTTGTTAATGTAATTCAGTATTTTTGACTGTTTTTCTGGAAAATTGATAAAAGATTCATAACAAACCGGTCAACTGCCACTACAACAAAATATAGACAAAATTGTTATATAAACTTTATTTATTTTACAACAATTGCAAAACAAGTTATGTCAACTTATACTAATCACTCTTGTTGGCCCGGATGTAAGCGTGCGAGGGGTCTTATTGTGGGAGTAAACGGGAGTACCTGGGGAAAACCCACGTGGTCAGGCAGGTGACCCCTTACCTTTTCACGTCTGTTAGCTAGGTTAGCTAGGTGAAAGGCGAGTGCGTTACCACTGTGCCACCCGACCACCCTGTTGACAAAACTGTTGTCAGGCATAGAACCTTCAAACACAATCAAGCATCCAAACGATTGTGGTGAAACATCTTCTGATTGTGATTGCCAATTCTTGACATCTTACATACGGTAAGTCCAGAGAAACAAGTCTATTCATTTCTCAGCATGGATGGCCGATATCTCATTATTTTGGATACTTCAGGCAACAGAACAGTTGTTTCATACTTTTAATATCAATTAACAATTAACAGTCAAACCTATTTCCTGTCAGTGATAGGACCAACACGATGAACAATTCCTGGCCTCAGGAAACGGTTCATTATGTTGGTCCCAACACCTCCAACAATGACTTAGTCTTTTGAC